CGTATAATCTTCTATTAACATTAAAAACGAATAAAATGCCTTTTACAAATAAACTAAACTATTTTCCCAAGCTGAAAGGGGAGCTTAATTAGGAAATAATACAGAAAAATAATAATATGCAAATAGTTTTATTTTCTTTAATATAATATTATTAGTTTATTATTTGATTTAATTAGCGTTATGGGATATTATATGATATTTCTATGGTCTAAGATAATGCCGAGTCCTAGATGGAACTGTCTAAGTTAATGAGGAAAGCATCCTTCGCCACCTTCGACTAAACCCGCCTGATTTTGATAAGTTGCATATCTGAAGGGGGCACTGCTTCAGAGTTGAATGCCATAGTTCCACTTGGACGCCAATCGTAGTAAATCTTTGGGTATAATAAGCCAGTAAAGCTTTGATAGTTTGGCCTTAGCCTTAATTAGCGTGCTTGATAAGTCAACAAGTTCTTAAAGTTTCCGAATATATTTCTTATATATATCAAGTAAAATTTTGTATTAATAGCTTTTCTCTCAGATTTCGCCTTTAATAATGACTAAGTATTTAAGCTAACTGTTTTTGCAGATACGTTAACTTGTGCACTCCCAGCAATTATTACACAATTTTTAAAGCTCTATTTAAAATCAATTTCGACTCTTTTACTTAATTTTCGTTTTGCTTTTTTGTTTTCTGTTGTTGTTTTGGCCAAACTATTTTCTAATTTTGGTAATTTCTAGTTAAAAACTGGAGCGCGCTCGCAAATTGCGCGCTCTTGTTGTTATTTTGTGCGATGTTTCCCTTGGAAGCTGCCACATTCGATACGGTTACAGCTACAACTAGAGCTACAGCTAAAGATACAGATACAGATACAGATACTCAGATACTTGCACACTTGGCCGCACTTGTTGCCGTCTGGGAGCGCATGGTGTGAGTATCTATCGTAAAACCATTAATAGTTGACTATTTTGTTATGGCCCAGCAACCGGTTACTGGGCACACACACACACACACACACACTCACTTGTTGGCGGTACAAATTTGTATACGTTTTATTTAGCTGTTGTATTTTGAAAATTGTATCTCAAGCTGAACATGAATGAGCTTTTCGAATATTTCGTAACCAGTTGGACTGCATTTTTTTCTGGCTCGCTGTTGTTGTTGTTGTTGTTTTTGTTGTCGAGCAGCGAACAGCGTGGCCAAAATGTTTATGCCTTGGCTATAATCGATAGCCAGAGCAACAAGCACGATCACAACAAAGTCAAGTGTGTTTTGCTGGCAGGCATTGAAAGAACTACAAAACGCGCTCTTCATCTGCCAAGCTGAATTGTTGGCTTAATTGCATGTGAATTGCACAGCTGCAACAATTATGTTAATCAAGCCTAGATTCTAATTAATTAAAAGCGTTAAATAATTACAGCAGCCAGTGTAAGTTTAACCATAATGTTATGTAATCAAAGAAATTTGCTCAACTCATTGCGTGCCTTCGCACGAAACAACAGGGAAAAGTATCTTGTAGCCAAAGCTGCTGCTGGTAAAGCGGTATCTGTATCTGTTGCATTTGTATCTTTAGCTGTTTACGTTTCCAGCTGTGCGCCAAATTGCTCAAGCTCTTGGTACTTGGTAAGAAAGCACGTGAAAATGTGGGCATATTGCGTTACAGCTAAAATAAATAGCCAAGAAATGGCTAAAAAGCAAAAACCGCTGCACAAACAGCGCGCACAAATTCGATGCGGGTCAGCTACAATTTCATAGGCCCCACCTCCCCGCCCCGCACACACTCCTCTGGCCCGCCCGTATTGGCAATTTGTTCTAACCCACTTGCGGATCCACTTGGATCTATGCTCTAAATATTTTTTCAATTAAAGTTTTTTCAATACTGCGACAGCAGTTTCTTATTTTGTGTTTACATTATCTTAATTAGCTTATTTTTATTAGCTTTCCATACCCTGTGCATATTTCAAAGGTATAAACGGGTATGGTTCACGATTGGACAATATCTGTTCGTCCCTTTGTCTGACTGTCAACCTCGGAGAACTGAAAACTAGTTTGCTGTTAGTTCATTCTGCTATTCCCCCTTCTATGCGATTCTCATAAGGTCAACTAAGTTATGCAGACTTTGAATTTCATTATCTGCTTTACAAGTTTTTGTTTGTTTCGTTCGTAATATTGTCAACTCCGCTCCCTTTTATTTCTCTCACTCTCTCTCTCTTTCTCTCTCTCTTTCTGTCTCTCTCTCTCTCTTGTTTTCTTAATGCCATTCATATTTATTCTGTTTCTTCTCCGTTTATGCCTACGAGTTTTCTCTCATACGAGTCGCTTTCTGTATTTATCTCTCTCTCTCTCTCTCTCTATTTTTTACTTCTCCTCTCGCTGTCTTTCTTCTACCTATCGCCTCGCCTCTTTTTCTATTACTGCCTCTCTGTTTCTCTCGAGTTTACTGGCTCTCTCCTTCCTTCTCTCTATTTCTATTCCTATATTTTTCTTCAGCTTACTCTCTCTCTTTCTCACCTACCCTTATCTTTCTCTCGAATTTGCTTTATCTTCCTCTCTGACATTCTCCCTTAGTCGCTCGGCGTGAATTAGGTTGTAGTTAAGCTTTTTTGATGTGTGTACAGGGTATCTCTATGTCGACAATTGCACTCTTACTTGCTTACATGTGCACTTAGCTATTTATTTGTAGTTGTTGTCGCCGTTTTAACCAGCTTGATATGTATGTAGTTCAATGTCAAGCATTTTGTGGTCAGTCGTCAGTCACAGTTGTCGCCGCCGCCGTCGCAGTCGCTGCTCTCAATGCCAGCCAATTTCTAGAGTAGCCAAACGAGGCAGGCCTCGACAAAAAAAGAGGGAAAAAACATGATGAACAACCCAGACAGACCGAACAGATCCAACAAAAAAACATATATATATACTACTAACAACAGCTGTTCGGAAGTTGAGCTACCGTTACGGCTTATAAAAGATTGTAGTTTATATATATATATATATTTCTCTGATTAGTTGCTATTGCTTTTGGCTTGGCATTGTACAATGACTGGTTAGATTACGGCTTTGGGTGTCCAGGCATAAACTTTAATTACAAGCCAGTTGTCGGCAACTGGCCAAAAAATGTGTAGAAAAAGCCACGGTAGAAGTGGAACGTGCAAATGGTCAAGCATCTAGCTCTAAGTCGACTTCCACATCTTCATTTTTAACTCCAGCTTGTGCTGCTTCTACTGCGCGTCGTTCCAATTCTGTTTTAAATTGTAGTCATTTTTGCCAATCATTTGTTGTTTGGTTTTGTTGCCACGACCAACTAACACCAATTGGTGTTCATTTATCTTGCCACATGCAATTTGCCCGTCAAAAACTGAGCCACAATTTTCCATATCAAAACAATTCGAGGCACGACAAAAAACAACAATAACAACAACAACAACAACAACGGGCAATACGACAAACGCTTGTGCCACACATTTGAGACGCCCATTTGAGACACCATTTGTTGGCCAGATTTGTGGAGATTTGTTGAGATTTTCCACGCCCACCAAACAGCTTTCAGCTATGTTTTGCAGGTAGCTGCCACAGTTTAGGTTCGGCTTATTTATGAGTATTATTTATAAAGAAACGAAGCTCACAAGTATTTGTACCCTGTATACATGCTGATAGATAGATGGAACTGATGGCCCTCAAATAAACTGGAACAAGTTGTTGCATGTCTTAAATTAATCAATTTTAATCAAGGGAAAATAAGCTTTTAAAGTTACCTTAATCCGCAGAGAAATCAATGTATTTTAGCATGTCTAATTAAGAAGCTTTAATAGTCATTAAAAAAATCAGAGATAACTATATTGTTTAGCATCTCTTAAATTTAGAAAATATGAAGACATAAGACTTAAGTATCAATCGCCGGACTTCTTATATAAGCTATTAATCAAACTTTCATTAATTTTTAACAGCTAATACCGTTTAAGCCAATGTAAGCTTTAAGCTTTAATATCTATACTTAAAGCTCAAAGCTCATGTGCTTACAGAAATACACTTCCCTTGCATTAATAGTATGTATTAAAGCACTTTTTAAGCTTGCAGCTAGAATAATATATTTCAATTTATACAATCAGTGATTGTTAAGTTTAAGCTTTAAAAGCGCTTCAAAATGCTTGCATAAAATTAAGCTGAATTAAAGCTCAAAGCTTTGCCAACTTAGCCAACAATGCATTTGAAAGTAATAAGCATAAAAAATGGTATTCTAATAACTTTTTAGTCTATTTCCCATAGAAGCCCTTTAACAATTTGCCAGGGTATACTCACGGTGCAACAGTCACGCGCTGCATAATTCTTGACTGTGGTAACTCGCGCTGATTTCTGGCCCGTGTTAAGCACGTCATTTGCTTTGGCAGCTGTCATTGGCTTTGATTAGTTTGTTGAACGTTGAAAATAAATAAAAAAAAACCTTCGATTTCACTTCCCAACCCGATTGAAGGCGTCGTTCGAGTGTACTCTGTACATTGAACCTGCGTTTCACACGCAGCTTTGCCGGCCAACTGAGCTGTGTGTCCAATAACCAAATCTGTTGACGGTTTTCAAGTTGCAACCGATGCTGTAGTTGGGTTTATGGCTTCATTACACGCCATGTAAAAGTCTGTCACCGGGCGCCGAAAAATATCTTTCAACATATTTCTCCTCGCTTTTTTTTTTCATTTATTTTTGTCCCCCTCTCTGTTATGAAAATCTATTTTAATGGCTTTTGTGGGCTGAGAAAATTTCCTGGCATTGTTTTTTATTTTTTTTTTTGGTTGCCTGTTTTTCATTTTTTTTTTCTGTGTTTCTTTTTGTTTTTGCATAAGAGTACTTTGAGTAGTTGCGGTGCAATACATACGCATACTTTGAGTACTTAGCGCTAAGGCAATAAGTAATTTTTTTAGAGCTCAGCTAATGATGTAATTTTTTGGCATTTGGCATGTCGTAAAATAACTCATTTACCCAAACGCATAACTGATAGATAATTTTTTGTAATTATAATTTATTTTTTCTCTTTGCAGTGCCACAAATTATTGTACAACATAAAATACAAATACCAAAATGTGTCAATAATTTATGTTTGAAAAGTTTAATTGGAAAATGTGCACAAAATAACGTGTAATTTGCCATTGGCCAGCTGTTCCGAGGCACACGTGTGACTGAAGGTGTGCTCTTTGTGGTTGTTGTTGTGCATTATATCATTTGTGATTTCTTATTTACAACACGATTCGTAAAGCTAATGCAACAAAGAGACCCGACACAATAATACGCAACATTTGCCAATAAATTACAACATTAACAACAGACAAACAGCATCAAAAAATGTCTATTAATAAAAGACTCGAGGGCGTGGCCGCCGCCCGCCTGTTAGCCGCGACTCTGCTGACGTTGGTCTGGCTAAAACTCGGCGCCGAGGCACACGTGGCCCTCACGTATCCACCTGCGCGCGCCTTGGATCTGGACTTCTTGGACAACTCGCGCACAAAGGCCCCTTGCGGCATGCCCAAAGGTAAGTCTCCGGGCTTGAGAAAGGCATAGGCAAAGGCATTGGCTAAGGTAAAAGTGGGTCTGAGAAAACTCCTGCCAATCTGATCTGCATTGCAATGCCCACGGGCAGCTGTTTCTGTGCCAACTTCCAGTCAGGCTTTTTTTTCCATTTAAATATGTTTAGCCTTCAGCCTCTGCATTTGCCTACAAATTGTTTTTCTTTTGTTTTTCTTTATTGGTTTTTTTTTTTTGTTTTTTTGCCATATAAATAATATTTGACTGCCTTTTTTATTTATTTTTGTGTGTGTTTTTTGGCTAGCGAAATACTTTGGTTAGCAGCTCGTGGGAATTATGGCCGGTTTTTTTCTATGGCTTTTCTGTGGCCAACACTTGCAGCTGGCTGGCGCCTTTTTTTGTGCCACTTTGCCCACTTGGCCAACTGAATGTGGCCAACAGTTTTCGGCTGGACTCTCATAAGAGTCTTATACTTCTTATTTAGCCTTAATCCACGAGTTAATCTTTCTATCAATTCTATCCTATTTATATTTCTTCCTTGCTATTTCTATCCTTTTCTCAACAACTCTTTAAGCTGTTCTTAATCCGCATTTAACATTAATGTATGTGTTTTATCAGAGTATTATTTTAGTTCTTACTCTTGGGAAAGGCATCACATTTCTTCTTAATCTTAATTTGTCAAAAATCACAAAGTAGGTTCTTGTATGGCAAATTATTTAAATAAAACTCCGAATTTACGCGAATTCCTTTCCCGTCGTGCCTAAGATATTCTTTCTCTCATGCTCTTTAGTATTATGTCATTCTTAACAGCTTATGATTATTTTGACTAAGCTACGTTTAGTTACTTAGTTTGTGCTTACAAATAATGCAACTTCGCCAGCTGAAATCTTTAATATCCAAGAAGCAGAAGACATTTCTTTGCAAGCAATTTTTCGCTGTCCATTGTCAGGGCTACAACCGGCTGAATTCTGAACGAAGTCAGCCAAAAACAATTTTGGCTTAAAGGCACGTAGTGTGCATTATAATCGCATTATTCAGTTCGCATGAGTCATTAAATAATACAAATATTTAAGTTGAAGTTGTTTACGTTTCGGGGCACGCTTCTGTTTTTGTTTTTTTTTTTTTGTTTTTCTGCTGAGATCGTGTAGACCCCATTGATCACTGAAGAGAGAGAGAGAGAGGGGGGGGGGGCATTTGTTTGGCCAGTTATTTTAGTCGCATTTAAATTGGCCATGCACGTTCAATTCACAGATTCATAGATTCATTTGTGAATTACATGCGCATACAGCGAGCATATTCATGAGTGGCATTCATGCATTTTATGATTCACACACACACACACACACACACACACACACACACACACACACATAATCATATTTCTATGTGCATTCGCGCTTGCATAACGATTTTCAGTTTCAGTTCAGTTTTGAAGTTTTGTATTGTTGCGTCTTACTTAACTATGATTATTGTTGTTGTTAGTTATTGTTGTTGTTGCTGTTGTTGTTAGTTGTTGTTGTTGAAGTTGCAGCCGCAAAGTGTTACCAATTAATTTGCATATGTTGGAGAGGCAGCAGCAGCAGCAGCAGCAGCAGACGCCATTCACTCTCAGCGCTTATTAAAAATTGGGTCATCATTCGTTTATTTGAATATTTAAAATATACCCTGTAAACATGGCTCTTTAAATAGCCCACACACAACTCTTACACGTATATGTAGCTAGTTTTTTTTTTTAAATAATTCAATTTGTTTAATTGAGTGCCAGAATCGATCAGTATCTGATCTCTACTTTACTCTATATATGGTTTATTAAAGTGCATAGTATTTCATTGAGACGTATTTGAAATGAAGTGGATTGAGGACATAGTCTATACTGTGTTCAAATGGTTCGCCTTGTAGGTGGGCCGCTTTGGAGACGCCCACTTGACGGGGTCAGCCAGGACCCTAGCGAGTGAATTGCTGTAAAAGCTAAATATGCAGTTCATTTCAATATAAAAATGTATCAATTATATTATTTATTTGAATGCTATATATGTCAAATAAATTAATAATAAGCTATACCTTAATAATAAAAAACCGAAGTCTATTTAGATTTTGCTTTAGTTAATTTTTTTAAATTTTTACTTCAATCATTAAAGCTTGCTACAGGGTATCTGCAAGTCCAATTCTTTCGCTCTTGAAAGCAGTCTTGTTTGTTTGTTTTATTGCCCGCATATCTCTGCGCCTCAAATACTTTCAAGTTTGAAGTTTTTTGACATTTCTGATGTGCCTTCAGCTGATATATCTGACTGCATATAAATTTACATATACATGTGTTTTTTGGCCACATATATATATATATATAAATATTTTAATTAAACTACCAACAGTTAAATTTCGTTTGCCTTGGGCAGAGTCCAAAGACACGTGTGTCGCATCAAAATGCCAAATCAATTTTAATAGGTGCTTATAAAAGCGCATCGTATATAGACACACACACACACACACATGCATATATATAAATAAGTGTATATATACAGATATATATTTATATATATATTATAATGCTTATAACGCGCATATTAAACGCTGCGCATTGCACACTCGTTCCACGACATTTTTGTATAATTTGTAATTTTTTTCGCTTGACTCTTTTATTTTTGTTAATTATATACGAGTGCGCATTGCGTATACGCAACGTGCGCCGCTTGTGGCAAACTGTGCGCTGCATGTGCGACCTGCCGCTGGCTCGCCATCTGTCTGTCTGTCTGGGTGGCTGTCTGCCTCTACCGGTTGCACGTTTAACCCATTTCGGGCCATGACAACTTTTGCCTTCATTTGCGGCTTTTTGCTTTTCTTGAACGGTTTGCTTGGTTTGCGCAAGGCGCCGCTTGGCTGGCCAATTGGCGAATCGGTAGCTGCAGCCGCGGCTGACTGACTGCCTTGCTGCTGCTGTTGCTGCTGCTGCTGCTGCTGCTGCTGTTGATGATGATGATATATGCTGCCAATAACAACAACAAGCTGAATGCAAGTGAAAAACTTTCACTTATGCTTTTATATATATATGGGCATTGCGCCACACACACACACCTGAGCAGGCGGGCTAAGAGCTGCTGCCAGATGATGCAAGTTAACAACTGTATCAAGACAAAGCGCGCTTCTCGCTCTGACCGCATTTGTTATTGAAGAAGAAGATGAAGATGAAGATGAATGAGAAGCGCTTGCTGCACCTTTCTAAGCGGCTGTTGCAAGTGCAACCGCAGACTCTGTTCGGGGCAGCCTCATTGAACTGACTCGTTGACCTCTTGTTGCATCTCAATTTGTTAACACTCGTTGCGCTTGTTAAGGGCCAAATGTTTTGTTTTGATTTGTCTATTTTACTTTTTTTGTCTTTGCTTTAAAGTTGTAATTGTCTGTTGTTGTTTTTTTCTTTTTTTATGTACGCCACTTGAATGGAGGTCAAGCTGCGGTCTGCCGCTTGTGTCACACTTTGTAATGCGGTTCAAGCTCTTGTATCTGCTTACAGATCCGCCAGTAATTACGCGCCATAATTAGCTAAGTTTTAGCAGCCTACGATGGTGCATTAAAATATAAATTATAAGCGAAATTCCGCTTTCGTCATACAACTCCAAGTTTATCATCTCAATTTACTTCATTTTTTGTTTATAAATATTTCTCAAGTGCCATTTATCAACATTTGCTGTGACTTGAATTGTTTTCGTTTCGGTTTTATTTGTTTATTTGTATTTCTAGCGGCGCTCATATTTCAATTTCCAATGGCCATTCATTTGTTAACTGAAATGTCGCATTGAAATTACCATACAAATCTGAACAGCATTCACTTGCACTAGACCCATAAAAAAATAATGCCACAGAATATCAATGAGAGCGCGCACTACAAATGCCATTTCAAATGGCAAATGTGTGACGAGCATGTGTACGGACTGGCTACACTGAGCGAAATTTATGGCACTCAATCAAAACGTTTAATTCTTGAAGAACAAAGTTTGCAGCGCGTGAAATGTAGCGGAACCAATATAGAAAAATTCCCAAACTAAGCTTTAATTCAAATTTATTATACGCAATTTAATACATACATTAAAGCTCTTAAAAATAACAGTTAAGGCTTCAAAGTGTTTTTTAACGCCTTGCTGAGAAAACAAATGCTAATAAATTTAGAATTCTTAAATCTGTTTAGGCGTTACTTGCATAATGGAATACATTCCTCTTCAAGCTTTTGTGATTCAACTTGTTAAACTTTAAGAATTTTAGTAACATTATCACACTTAAGGCTATTAACAGCTTTCGAGCGTTGTTTTGAGCCTTGATGCGAAATCATATGAAAAGAAACATGAACTTTCATTTCTTTAATCTGTAAAACCTTTACATACCGTGACGCTACAACTAAGTGTGTGTTTCTATTTGTGGTTAGAGCTTGTGATTAAAGTTTCTCATGCTCTCTGAGACAAAACCTAAATATCGCTTTGGTAACATTCAATTGGCTAGCCAAATTAAAACGTACAAGACTTTTACCCGATTGAGTTGCAGCTTTCAGCTTTTAACAAGCTTCATATTCAACATACTTACTTAAAAGACAAAGCTCTGAAAAACTAGAAAATTGGGATTGATGAAAAGCAGAACATATATAAAGAAAATAATAATTTTAACTAAATGCCAATAAATTAAATAAAAATGTTCTATTCAAAAATAAAGCTTTAAGAAATGCTCATATTAGGAAGATTGCTACTTATCTTGCCTTTTAAGTCAATCTCACTTTTTATGCTTGTCATAAGTAATTTTTTTCAGTGCATATGCCACATATGCGATAGATATCGAGTGGCATGCCATAAATATCAACCGCAGAGACGACGCCAACGTCTGACTGTGCAACTGGCTAAGACAACGTCACGAGCAATTAACTAAAGCGAAAAACTCCTTGACCACAAGCAGGCCATAAGCTACCAGGCACCCAGATAGATAGATACCCAGCAACCAGCTACCAGCTACCAGTTGCAGTTGCTGGCAGACCGAAATGCAAATGCAAACACAACCAATCAACGCTTGCCACAGGTTGCCACGTAATTTGCGGCAAATGAAACGGTGGCAACATGATGTTGTTTTAGGGTTGCCAAAGCCAAAATTCATTTTATGCCATGTTACACTCTCCGGCGTCCACACTTGCCTGGACGGCCAGTCGCTGCCATAAAATTTATGGCATTGCGCGGGGCTCAAGTTTATTTGTCAACCTTTTCACGTTGCACAGTTGCAAGTGTTTGTGTCTGTATGTGTGCGTGTGTGTTTGCGGAAGTCTTTGCCTGTGCAACGACACGCCATATTTGGCAGCCATGTTGCCAATACCCGACCCCCTTCCCGCCTGAAACACCCACTGGGTGGACTGCCTCTCCGCCCAGATGCATGCAAGCGGCACTGCAATTAGAATGCATGCAAGCACACATTCTTTTTCCACAGCTATGTAATAACAACAAGCAAATTGGCCTCAGGGTTCGGTTGGCTGGCCTAAGCATACCATTAAGAAAATGATGCAAAAGCCAAGACAATTCTTATATAAGTGATTGGCCATTTGGGCCTGGACTCTGCCACTGCGAAAGTTGACTGCGAACACATTTCAAATTATCTTTTTAGGTTTTCAATCCTAAAAGGCAAATACTTCCAAAGCACAGTCAAAGAATTCAGTAAATAGCTGCAATTATCATAATGGATATTATTACATAATTGATAAGCATATTAAGTGGAGCCGTTAGCTAGAGTTTACTGTATTTAGACCAAAGACCAACATTCCAAAGGTCAACATTCAAAGGTCTGACAGTCTCATTCAGCATGAAAGTTATTCGCTTTATTTAGTTTTTGATTTATTAGCGATAAAAACAAATTTATTTTATTTAAACAGAATCGCGAATGTGTCAATTTAAATGAATGAAAGAAATTTCCTTTGATTCGATCAACCATTTTAATATATTGCCGAGAAAAACTGGGCTAAGATTTAAATTAAAATGTGAATGATAGATATGTTGGCCAGTAGAATGCGGCTATTTAAATAGGTTAGCTTCAGAGAAATTAGATAAAATGTGTTCATTAGTCGAATGAATTACTAGAATGTTAAACAGTGAATATAGTATTCTATTGCTTGTAGTTTTATATATAACTAACACAAATTCGTTTATTAAACTTTCTTAAATTCCAATATGGCTAGTAGAATGCCTAAGACAAGAATGACAGGAATGTTGGCCAGTGGAATGCAAGCATTTTGAAACATTTAGCTTGAGACAAGCTATCTAATAATTGTATTCAATTAAAGCAAATTAATAATAGCTTATTAACATGTTTAGGCCACAAGTCTTATGCCAAGCAAACAGCCCCAAGAAAACTGTTGGAAAATCTTCAACTTGCTGCGTTTTTCGGTCGAACATCATTATCATTAATGAACTTCAGTCGATATCAATCAAGAGTTAAAAACTTTGGCTCAATTAAATGCATTTTGTATAACATAAATAAGACGGTCTCTTTTTTCGAATATTTTATATGATAATAATATTGCTGTGAATGCCAAGCAAAACACTTGATATTGAACTGCTGAGAATCATAATCATTATCAATATTTTGGCTACGACTTTCGAAATGAGACAGTCGCGCGTTGTGAGACGGCGGGAAGGCGAGAAGGCGGGCAGGCGAGTTCAAGCGCAACATTCGATATTCATGCAACGCAGCCTCCAAAAAATCAAAGGTGAACAACTTTCGCGCTCGTGAGAAATATGACAGACCGAAAACCGAAGCGAAATATGAAAATGACCAGCAGAGACAGAGAGAGAGAGAGAGAGAGAGGGAGAGGGAGAAAGAGTGCGAGTTACAGTGGCGGCTACATGAGAAAAAACACAAGCTCAAGCACCTGCCAATATTTTGGGTGTCCAGTTTTTGGGCAACTGGTTACGCCCTAAAAAGCAACATATATATACATTGCATATATATATATATATATATACTGCTGCTCTTGTTGTTGTTGCCTCGATTTATTAATGGGCACAATTGATTTATCGCTCGGGCTATCAGCCTCTTTGTATTTTTTTGTTGTCTGCCTCAACTTAACCCATTTTCGCCGAGCTGCTTCAACGTTTTTCAACTTGAGTTTTTTTTTTTTGTGTATTTTTTATTTTTCATTTTTTGATATTTATTTATTTTTTTTGTGGTTGTCAAAACCACTTCGTCTGGCCATGTGAAAATGTGTGGTCCACTTGGCTGCAGGTGCGGAAATCGCCATTTGCAAATTCAGCCAAGAACCATCGAAGTCTAGAAAAATTACGCCATTGAAATCAAAAGTCGCAGTCAATTGTTGACCTACAAAAGTCGCTGTAATGTCTATAGACACGCAGCGGCATTTTTTCTCCAATACCCTGTAAATATGCGGTGAACTCGAGAAGGGGTATTGCGGAGCTAAACAAACGCTTGAAGGACAGAAGATTTTGTCTCCTTCTTTCCTCTTTAACAGGCAAGTTTAAATAGCTAGAGCTGGCAAATTTGTTCAATTATTGCTAAGAAAACTAGGCTAACATTTTAAATTGTTTTACTTATATTTAAAAGGGAATTGCATATGCAAAGCTGATAGCAAAGACTCAAACCTGAGTAGCTGAACTCATACTTTCATATCAAAGACTCGAACCTGAGTTCATATTTGATTTGTTCGAGTGACTTCCCTATCTTCTTTCCTATATTCTTTCTGTTAAACTAAGACTTTTTTATGTGTAAATTGAATTAAAGTTTTCTAGGAACTTAAACTTGATCTAAGCTCAAGTTTTGTCTCAGGTTTTTATTACAGGATATGTTCAAGTCACGCATTTAATTGAAACTTGATTTTTTACTGCTGCTCATAATCAGCGCCATCAATGACAGCAAAGAGACAAAAAGCTAAAGACTTGCAGCTGCAGACGGGCGGACGGGACGGGCAGACGAGGGAGTTCATTTCTATGCCACGACTGTGCCTAGTCTCCGCCATGGCTGTTGTTGTCTGACCATATTGGGCAGCTGGTGGAAAAAGTGTGGCAATTGAATGCATCCAAGTGGTTGGGTCTTCAATATTTGGCCAGGTCTTTAAGCCAGCTATCGGGGAGATGACCAACCAGCTCGTGTGCCAGCAGCAGTAATCATAATTTTCCAGCTTCCTTATTTGTCTTGTCGTAATGCTAACTGGAAAGTGTGCCCCCCGCTGGCCTATCTTCTCCTTTGACTGCTTTCGCTTTCAGGTATCGTTATGGCCATTAAACGGCTTCAATTAGCGACTCGACTCGCCTGTATTGGCTGACAACGATGTGCGATCTGCGCTTGGGCATTGATTGGCCACTTTTAGCAGCAGCCCCCTCTGCCACCGCCTCTTCCCCTCCCACACACCTTTCTTCCCTAGCTGGGATGCAATTTTTCACAGCTGGTCGAAGTTACCGCATTGCACTTATGCAATAGTTGTGAGCATATGAAATTTGTCGGCAGCCAGAAAAACTTGTAATGCGAAGATGTGTGTGGCGGCACTTGGTGTGGCCAGTGTGAAGGTGTGTGTGTGTGTGTGTGTGCTTCCTGAGCTGTGTCTCTCTTGTCGGACCTGCCTCCGTTTGTCCCAAGTCTGGGCCGACTCGCCTATGCAATTGTTGGAATTTAGTGCGCAGGTGCGCAGCTGCGGATCACTTCTACTTGAAGGCCCACTTGGAGCCGCACTCGGAGCCCCACTTGGCTGCTACGCAATGCAGAACCACAAAACCAGTTCAGCTTGAGTGCTGGCAAAACATTTAATTATGCGTTACATATTTCAGTTAGGCCAATTGCCAGCTAGTTCTCTTCGCAACTGTAATGCCTGATCAACTGCCCAACTGCATGGCCTGATAAACAGCATCCTCATCATGTGGCTATGCCTCTTGACGATCATCATTGCCGTTGCTCCACTTCTTCCACTCACTGGTTAACAACCACATTTCAATGGGCTGCCATTAGGTATTGATACTTGGCCTATGCGAATTGTATAGATTTCTTAGAATTGATCAAAGTATGTAAATGGGATTATGGAGTGAACATGCGGATTATATAAATTATTTTTGAACTGAACAAGGAGGAGTTTGGATTTCAAAGACTATAATAGCCATAGGTTAGGTTGATTTTTTATAACTTGATCCCATGCTTATAATAATAATAATATTAGTTTCTTTTTGCTCTAATATATTCTCAAAAATATGTATCGCATTCGAAAAGAGATCTCTATAAGTATATATGTACACATATTCCTGGCTAGAATCAACAGCCAAGTTGAAGCTGCACAGATTTGAACCAGCTTCTGCTCTTACTGCAAACAGCTGTCTTTTAATAGCTTAAATTTAGCATCTATTGTTGCAGAAGTAATTAATCTTGATAGACCTGTAACTGTTTCTTGTTTTAGTCCATTCTTTAGTTAATTTCTAGCCCTTTCTACGCTGAGCGCTCTTTCATTATAAATTAAACCTTTTCTGTATATAACACCTTGTAGCATTCTCCGCATAGCATCAACTCCATCAATTTGGTTCATGTTCTATTTAAAAAATAGCTTCAAACTATTTGTGAAGATCCAGTTAACCAGTTCACAGACATAACAAACACCCACAGCATCTAATTAAAATATGTTAAGCATTTGTCTCAACTCGAGAGTGTTCGAGAATGTTTTTTATTAAATGGAAACCAAAAACATATGAAAGTTCAATATCAGGGATCAAATATTAACAGAGTTTGAATCACTTTTGCAACCAAAGCTAATCTAGAAACTAAATTAGAGTCAAGTTGCGGGCAATTCAAGCCAATTGCAACAAAATCTAATCTAATCTTTTAACTGCAACTAATTGTTAATACCTCTTTGTAAATTGTCTGTATTTTGCAGGCTCCATACGCACCTCGCTGCTGTCGGGCTCCATGTTTAATGTCACCTGGCATTTGGCCTATCCGCACAAGGTAAGTGGAGGAGTTGGAGAAGTGGTGGCTCTTGTCTGTCATCTTGCGACATCTTTTCGGGGCAATTAGGCTGATGATCAAGGCATGCACAATGAAAACCCGGTTCTTATCTCTCTACGTCAAACGTAATTAGCCAGACGTGTGCATCTGTGTTCTGGGTAGCGTAAATGATGTAATGATTGCCGCACATGCACCAGCAGAGAGTACGAGCATCTAGATAGACGAGCTTGGGGCCCCTTGGCTCTCAAAGTCAGGCATTGCGTTAGAAGTTCCCATAATTGAAAAGCCAATGGGAATTGGCTGACAGACACAAACACAAACAGATCAAGACACAAGTTCTCAGTCATTGTTTGCGAAATATAAACAGAGTTAAGCACACGAGAGGAATTTTTATTAAATAGTTCATATCATGCACACTTCTAGGGCGGCTTCCGCTTGCAGCTCTTGGATGCACTCGACAGGCCCGTGCTGGATCTGACGCCGCACGTCAACAACTCTGAATTTGTGCGCACCGATGTCACGTAAGTCAAAGTGTAGACCCGTTCGAGGATGCAGCTAATCCTGTTTTCCCTTAGCGCTCAATCGTACCAGGTGAACATTCCCAAGGATTTCGAGTGCTTCAATTGCACGCTGCGCCTGCTGCGCCAGGCGGACGAATGGTCGAGCAACTATCGCTTCTGGTCCTGTGCTGATGTGGACATCAAGCAGCGCAAGGACTTCAAGGAGAGCTGCTCCGGCAAGGGCAAATACTTCCCCTCGCGCTGCAAGTGCGAAAAGAACTACTATGGACCGCAATGCCAGTACCGGGACGAGTGCACCAGCAATGCGGACTGCGGCGCCCAGGGCAAGTGCATCGATCTGGACGGCACCTCGCTGCCCCGTCGCCAGTGCTATTGCAACCTTGGCTGGCATGGCATTGGCTGCACCAAGCGCTCGCCCTACAAGTCAACCAGCCTGGACCTGTCGGCCTTTACGAAGAAGGAGCTGTCGCCGGACTATCACATGTACTGGCGTCTGTTGGAGGAGCAGAAGGAGATCGAGATCGTACTCAAGGTCAATGGCACCTCGTGGGTGGGCCTGGGCTGGCGTCCACGTGGTCTGACGCCGGAATGCAAGAACTTCCCGCTAATAAAGGACATTGGAGACTTGACGACAACGCTTGAGAACACGGGATCTGAGCATGCGGAGCCGGAGCCCAAGAGTGAACCGGAGCCCAAGAGTGAACCAGAGCCTAAGAGTGAACCAGAACCCAAGAGCGAGCCTGAACCCAAGAGCGAGCCGGAGCCTAAGAGTGAACCGGAACCCAAAAGCGAACCGGAACCCAAGAGCGAACCTGAGCCCAAGAGCGAACCGGAGCCCAAGAGTGAACCGGAGCCCAAGAGTGAACCCGAACCCAATGCTGAACCAACAGCCGAGCCCAGTGCCGAGCCAAGCACCAAAACAAAGCGCGTCGCCAAGCATGAGGACGAGCTTGCCAGCATTGACGGCGTCACGTCAGTGGCCACCAGCGTATCCTATCGCGTCAGCACCAAATCCGGACGCAGCCGCCGCCAAGCCACAGGTAAGAACGAGGGGAACTGCATTAGTTTCGCACCTGCAACAGTTAGCACAGTTCGTTTAATTTAGAGCTAATACGAGTAGTGGCAAAAACACACAACCCTGCAGATCCTCTAGAGCTACGTACTAGGCACTATCTGCATATTGTTGTTGCTATCCTTGTTGAGCTTCTACTACTTTTGACCTCTCTCTGAAACCCGCACCTAACACTAAGCACACAAATCTATTTTATTTAAACAAAACACGCTGTATAAATAGAGCCTAATAGCACAGCGGAGCCGAAGAGCGAACCGGAACCAACGACAACGAGTGAGCCAGTGCCGAAAAGTGAACCGGAGGCAACAACGAATGCACCGGAACCTAAAAGCGAACCTGAACCGAAGAGCGAGCCGGAACCGAAGAGCGAACCTGAGCCTAGAAGTGAACCGGAACCAAAGAGTGAACCAGAGCCAAAAAGTGAACCGGAACCCAAGAGCGAGCCAGAACCTAAGAGCGAGCCAGAACCTAAGAGCGAGCCGGAGCCTAAGAGCGAGCCAGAACCCAAGAGTGAGCCCGAACCGAAGAGCGAGCCGGAACCAAAAAGTGAACCGGAGCCCAAGAGCGAGCCAGAACCTAAGAGCGAACCGGAGCCTAAAAGCGAACCAGAACCGAAGAGTGAGCCCGAACCCAAAAGTGAGCCGGAACCCAAAAGTGAACCGGAACCCAAGAGTGAACCGGAGCCAAAGAGCGAGCCGGAACCCAAAAAGTCCGCAAATCTTGAGTCAGCAGGTAAACGCATGCGAATTGGTAAAGGCTTAGCATTTTCAAATCCCGTTCTTCATTATCTACTAACCAAGTTAAACACGAAACCCACACGAATCGCATCACCAACCCAACCCAATTGAGAATTCCTCTGATCCTTTCATTTGTGTTTCCATAGAGCCCAAGTACAAGCTCAATCCGTACACACCGCGCCACGACTTTAATCCCATGGACTGCACGGATATCGTCATTGGTACGGCGCGCGGCATGGCCAGCCGTGTGGGTGATTATTATACTCGGGATCGTTCGACGCCGCGCAGCGATGAGTTCTACGGCGGCAAATCGGATTTGGCCTTGGGCACAGGTTTCGAGGAGAATGGCGTGACCACCATAATATTCCGCAAGAAGTTGGTGGCCAGCGATGCCACCGATCACACCTTGGACGATGCGCTGACTCACGTGATCTGGGCCAAGGGTCAGGAGCCGGGCAGCTATGTGCATGTGCCAGCCTCTGGCCTGGAAACGGAATCATCATCCGTCAAGGACTTCTATCAGCCGGATGAGCTCAAATATCATGGACACAAGCTACAACGCGGCGTTACCCAAATCAATTTCTTCGGTAAGTCAAGAAAAGTCCGCAGCTAATCCAATCTTACCAATTGAAACCCCTGCAGAGAAAGACAAACCGGCGGCCAACACCGATCGCAGTGATCTGAGCAGCAATGTGCTGGACAACGATTGCTACGGTCACTGGAAGTACCCCTCGAACTGCTCGCCCCAGGAGCACAGCTGCGAGTACTACGCAAGCTGGGAGACTGTGGGCCGGGGCGACGAGATGCGCTGGCACATCGAGACATCGAATACACAAACCTGGACGGGCATTGGCTTCAGCGATGATCAGCGCATGTCGCAGACGGATGCGATTATTGGCTGGGTTGATGGACGCAGTGGTCGTCCCTTCCTGATGGACACCTGGGTACTGGGCTATGCGCCGCCCAAGCTTGACGAACGTCAGGACATCTACAATGCATCCGGTCGCATTGAGAAGGGCGTCACCATCTTGGAGTTCAATCGCAAGCGTGTCAGCAATGACGAACAGGACTTGTCCTTCACAGATGATCACTGTCTCTATCTGTTCTTCCCCGTGCTGGGCGGCGCCTTCAACGTGGTCAACAAGAAGACACGCAAGCACGAGCAGGTCCCACCCATTTCTCCTCAACGCGTCTGCATCAAGTCCTGTGGCAAGGGTAGGCTTAAGCCTCGTCACTAGTTGATCATGTGTTCATGCCCTGTTTTTCTTCCAGAGCTGGAATCCGTTTTCGTGGGCACCAGCACACCAGCGCCCAGTCGCTTGGTCTATGCGGTGGGCGTTAAGCTCATGAATCTGGCTGAATCATTCGAGGCGCCCAAGCCAGGCACTGTGGATTTCAACAATCTAGCCGCAACCATTTCGGACTCCTTCAATGGCATACTTTCTTCTATTCCGGGCTACTACAAGACCGAAATTTTAGGCTTTGAAAAGTGCGTAATATTCCTGGGCTTCGCATTCGATTGAGATAATTATTAGCTGTATTTAGGCGCAGCCAACTTAAGAGGGGCATTGAATTTAAGTGTTGCCAGATCGGTAAACGGGCCACTTAAGTTTAAGTATTGCCAAATCGTTAAAAACGTAGCGAAAATCTTAAGAGATGCTGTTAACTTTAACTTTTCTTTATTTGTTATATATGTATGCTATTATAATTATATATCTTTCTTTCCTTCTGAAGGGAGGGCAGCACAATGGTGGCCAAGGTGCAGGCCATGTTCGACAAGGCCGACGTCGAGAAGCTGCATACGCTGGATACCAATAATGTGGAGAAGACCAGCGAGGCGGCTGTGCAGAAGAACGCGGAAGCTATCAAAGCAGCGCTATTGGATCAAATAGCCACCGGCAAGGTGGGCTCCCTAACAGTCGATCCGCAGTTCTTAGATTTCGAGGCGCTGGAATGTAAGTTTCGTGATAGTCAAGCTAAGATTCAAGCCTAACAGCTTTGGTTTTTGTGTGCCCACAGACAAGAGTGCCGTGGATACGAGTGCCAAGGATACGCTACTCTCCTTCTTCGATCTGTCCGAGACACGTTTGTATATTGTCCTAGGTCTGATTGCAGCCCTTGTGCTGATAGCACTGATCCAAGCGTTCTGCACCATTTTGAAGACCTCGCGCAAGAGCAAGAACACAAAGGTAAACTATTTTATTCCCATTGCCGTGTTAAGTTACCAAGTTACCAAGTTTTTAGCATTAACTTTACATGTTTGTTCAGTTTTAAACGTGGCGCACATAATTCTTGTTAAAGAATTCGATTCTTACACGATTAATAATGTTTTTTTGTTCAATTGTATAATGTTATTTAAAGCTGGTTTACGTAATACCCGACGAATGGCGCATATATCAACAGCGACAACACCAACGCTACTATCAGCCCTCTAGCGATCTATAAAAACAATACATACTATATATCCATAAAAAATAATCCAACACAAATTACCCACCATATATGTTATAAAAAAAAAAAAAGAAAAAAAAGATAAGATATATACTTCTATATATCTCACTGCCTGAAGAGTTACAATCTGCCCAATAAAATCAATAATAATAAAAATAGTTAGCCAAATATCAGAAAGTCCTAACAACAGCGCGGATATCTTTATACATGTACTATATATAGTATATACGCCAATGTGTGTTGTTGAGTCGCGTTTATCAAAATTCTAGAACATAAAGAATTCATTGGTAATTGAAATTCCTTTTTTGTTTGTTGTTGTACTAATTAACCAAAAAGTTGTGACTACTTTTAAAAGCTAACCATATAAAAAAAAAAACCCCCCCAATAATACTGTTCTGATCCGCAAAGGGTTCTTTTCTCACATTTCTCACATTCGCTGTCTATCATTCCTGTGTATGTGTTTGCTAATCATTTCAACTATCTTAATAACTATCTAGTCACTATATACTTAATCTTTTGTGTTTGTAGCCAAACCAGTTAGCATTTGATCTATGCTATGTATTTCTTACTAAAACTCAAAATCAAAAACAACTTGGCATACCGATCCTAAACTATTTTCCCACTATAAACCTATGTATTTTCGAGCAAATCGAATGTAGTTCACATCTTTCTGCACAATCCTCCCTAGTCATAATGTCCATGGGTGTCATATCTTCTGCTTGACTGGTTATCAGCTTTAATAAATAGAAATTTGCAAAATTCGAGAGAAACGCAAGCACAAGGCACATACCAGAATCAATTATAGTACATATTAGTCCTCCAAAACGTTGACTAGCGCACAGTACATGTCGAGCGTTCCGAAGATTTAGAATAGATCGTAATACACATAGAGCCCGTATGCCCAAATGCTGACTGGTTGAGCGCTAAGAACTGTACGAACCTGCACAAAAAAAAATATCAATCCTGGTGAATGCTCTGTTTGCTTGCAGGAGAAACTGATACAGAACTCGCCCTGGAAGGAGTTCGCCTCGAACACGAACTACGCATTCGATCCATATGGCGAAACCGAGGAGAAGCACATGACCAGCAGCACCGCGGCCAAGGAGAAGGCGCGCAATCGTTCCACGGCCAGCAGTCAACAGACGACACTGCCCATGTCCCACTCGCCCACCAGCAAGTCGCAGATGTACTACGAGAACAGCAATGGCAATGGCAATGGCAATGGCCATGGACACGGCAAGAGCAGCAATGGCAACGCTCGCTCCAATGGCCGGCACATGACGCAGGAGAGCAGCGCGGGCGGCAGCGCGAGCACGGCACCCGGACCCTATGCACGTGGCAGCTACGCGGAGCGGGCATATTCGCTGCCGCGCCAGAATCATCATTACCAACAGAGCTCGGCCAATATGCAGCCATCCGGCTACTATACGCACGATCGTCGGGCTGCACGACAGGAGCGCGAACGGGAGCGGGAGCGGGGCGAGGAGCGACGCCAGCGACATGAACGGGAGTCCAGCTATGATAGATCGCGCGATGATCCGCGCTTGAATGGCGGCGCCGATACGCCGGACTTTTACTTTATGCCGTCGCAGCGCAAATATTCCGGCGAAGTGGTGCGCGTTTATGTGGACTACAACAAGGATCCAAAGCACTAAAAAAAACAAAAACCAACAAGAACAAACAAAACGTCTTCGGGCGGACAAACAAATTGAAAGTGCATACACACAAAACACGTTGCAGCTTATTTAAAATCTTGTTTTAAGTACTTCGCTCTATGTATTCCGTCCTTTTATCTGGCTGACTGCTGCTTCTCGTTTCGATTGCCATAAAGCAGTTTCACTGCATGCGTTTTACGGGGAAAACTTCCCACATTTTCACCATTAATTTTTTTTATTTTGGCTGCGTAAGCTTTATAACAACGCACAAATGCACCGAGTTTAATTTAATGCAGTTCAGGAAATGTTTTTTAAATCCACAATTTAGTAAATTGTAAATATTTTGCATAGAATATAATTGTCTGGACAAGTATTGATTCAGGACTTTTGCAATGTTTTCTATTTAATGTGCAAAGAAATATAGTCACTGTATTTAATCAAATTAAATATATGTATGTTAATATATAAAGTTTTAAAATGTTGAGCGCATTATACGATATAATACTCGTACAAAATGTTTAATTTTACAATACATTAAGTTCATATTAATAAACTTAGGCACGTAATATACAGTTAAAAGTTGGTTTAAATTTGTGCTAAATAAGTAAATTTTTCCATTTTGAATTGCCAACCGTTCCAATTTGTCAGTGCTGTGAGACATTGTAAGTGCTGCAAAACGCGATATTCCTCATATCGATATTGCGCGCTGTAACTATCGATACCTGTTTACTGCTTATATTATCATCCCTATGCGCAGAGTTTCGCGCCCTTTTAGTAGAAAATGAATGCCTGCTCACACATTTTCCGCGTAATTAAATCGTTTGTGTGAATTGGGGTAGTGGAATCAATTAAAAACCATATTATTTATTGTGTAAAATAAGCACAAGACACAATGGACATCGATGCAGAAGTGGGTCAGGCGTACCACACGGTGCAGTTGTCGACAAAAGAAATGCTCAAAAACAATCGACGTCAACATTATTGCAATGTAAGTAATTTTCATGAACTTTTCGCTGTGCTGTGCAGTGCATTTTATGCAATTATAACAACAACCACCATTGTATTTGTTGCTAATGAATAATCTAGATGATTGACTTGCTGGCCAGCAGCTGCAAGGCCTCGGGCCTGATAACCACTTCCTTTACGAATGAGGAATTGGTCGAGTTCTGGCTGGGCGACATTTTGCCGCTAATGTTTGACACAGATCGCAATATACAGAATTGTGCCATGGCCGCGATGGCCGAGGCTCTGGTTGCACTCGATGTGTCTGTCATACACGCTGCCAAATGTTGGCCCCAGATACGCAGCGAATTCGTCAACAACTACACGACGCTCATCGGGGAGATGCGCGATGCAAAAAACAACAATTGGCACAAGATCTGGACGCTGCTGGTGCAGATTATGGACAGCGAAATGCTGCGCGGCTGCACCTACATCAACAAATTTCTTGCCGTCGTCGAGCTGGGCTTTCGCAATCCCGACAATGGCGTGCGCTCCGAGGCATTTCTTTGCTGGCGCGTACTTATCAAGATCTTTGCCGCCTATAATGAGCTGGCGGCGGGCAAACGTTTGCGTCTGCTCCTCATTCCACTGCGCACATCCCAGTCGCGTTCGCCGCACGTAAGCGGCATTAAGCTGCGCGTCTGGTGGTATTTAATCAGCTGCCTGGATGTCGAGCTGCCCAAGTCGTTCGACAATGCTGTTGAGTATTTTTTGAGCTTTTTGTTTGGCGGCGGCGCACGTGGCAATGCAACGGGCCTGGCGCACAGCTATCAGACGGCAAGGGAGCTGGCGCTGCCTTGCCTGGTCGCCCTGTGGAATATGGAACCAGCCTCGGCCGCCCTGCAGCGCCTGCTGCGTGACATGCGCCTCGAGGTGCTCCGCCAGCCCTCGCCGCTTATGAACTCGGAGCTGCTGCAGCAGCACTGGCGTCCCATGCTGGCAGCGGCTGTTGCCGGCATGCAGCTGCTCAGCCAGGCAGAGCACAGCTCTGAGACGGAGCAGGAGCTGTTGAATTTGCTGCTGCGCAATCTGACGCTGGCCATGTTCCAGCTACGCGTGACCCCCTTTACGGTCGCCTGTTGTGCGGAGTTGGAGAAGACGCTACCCGGCGACGGCAGCATTGTGCGCTCCGTTTTCAATGCCTGCGCTGGCCTAGCCATGCCGCCGCAACGCGTAGACTCCCTCGAAGTGCTGGAAGCTTGTCTGAAGTTGTGTCTGAAGGCGCGCGCCGAGGTGCCGCCCGCAATTATGCAGCGCTGTGTCGCGCTCATCTATGCCGCGGAGCAGCTGAAGACGCGCAGCACCAGCGAATTCCGTCAGCTCAGCAGCTTTGCGGAGCTGCTCATGCAAAATAACGACGAGGAGGACTACGAGACCTTCGGGCTCAAGCTGCAGATATGGCGACAGGTCTCCGGAGCACTGCTCGACTACTTGCGTGACCATGCGCTCGAATATCGCGTGGCGCACAATGCTGCGTTCGTGGATAGCTGGATTCTGTGGCCGCTGCTGACAAGCGCCAGCTTTGCCGGGCGACGCGCCAACAGCTCCTTCGACGGCGCCTTCTGTGAGCAATGGCGGCAGCTCATCAATGCGGGCCACAATGCCAACGAGCGCAAGAAGTTCGTTGCGGATCTAAAGACGGCGCTGATCGAGCTGCTGAAGAATGGCAGCAAAGAGGAGCCACATTTCGCGGAGATGTTCGACATATATGTCAGTGCGGTGCTTAGGCTGGGCATCTGCAAGGACTCGCCCCTCTACAAAGATGTCTTTGCGCTGCTTTACGCTGTCTTCGAGCGTCCGGCACTGTCCCAGTCGCTGCTGGAGGGCTGTCTCAATACGCTGCGCAATCTCATACTGGAGCTGCGCCAGAACGAGCTGATGGTCGTGTTCGATGCACTGAAGCCCACTTTGAGTGCGGCGCTTCAGTGCTGGAACAAGGGCAAGTACGAGGGCAGCTTTCTCAGCGAGTGGAAGCGCGCCATTCAGGAGAAATTCCGCAAGCTGTCCATGAAGAGCATGGCCAATCAGCTAAAGGATCTGTTCAAGGGCGACGACCTCTTCGTTATCATACCCTCCGTATGGAGCTTGAATCCGGACAAGCTCACCGATCGCCAGAAGGAGCGTTTCGCGGAGAAGTCCGACATACCAGCGCTGTACAATGACATGAGCCAGTCGCAGGACTCGTCCTCCATCAAACCCTGGACACCCAAGAAGGTAGTCATCGCCAAAGGCAAGCAAACCGAATTGGCCCTAAGCGGCGGCGACAGGCAAACGGAGCAAGATAAGGACCAGGACAGCGATGGCGTGACCATCATTGAAGAATCGCCAACTGATCCGCCCACGACTCCAGCTGCTGGGGTTTCCACGCCCACACGCCGACGCCGGCTATCGGAAGTAGTCGGCACCGAGTCGAGCAGCGCGGAGAAGTACCAATTCCGCAAACCGCGCGCGCAAATTGAGGAAGAGGCCAAGCCAACGCCCGTTCCTGCCGGGGATACATCTGTGCGCCAGACACGCAAACGTGCTGCACAAAAGGACAAGCAAATCGAGCAGCCACCAGCAGCAACCGACAGACTGCGTTCACCCAGAAAGCAGACAGCAACCCCTCAAGCAACAACAGGTAAGAAGTCCATCAACAGGCTCTGCGAATCGTCTTTCTTATGTTTGTCTCATTTTTTTTCCACAGCTGCCAGCAAAGCCAGCGCACAGAAGGTCAAGGACACTGCCAAACTCACCCCAATGCAGAGCGAGGATCTGTTCGCTGAATTTGCAACCCCGACACCTGCTGCACAGGTGCTGCACGAGCCGGCCAAAAAAACGTCGAGTGTGCCGGATACGCAGCTGATTGTTTCGCCAGAACCGGCTGTCGAATCGGTGGCCAGCACACAGATGCCGTCAGAGCCCATGGGCGATCCCATGCCCATGACAGAGAGCTCGCCCAAGAAGCACAACACACGACTTTGCAATTTGGTAAGTCCACAAGAAACTAGCTCGGGGTAGATATATTGGCATATTATGTGAAAGTAAAAGGTACTTGTGAGGGGGAATAGAAAGATTCCAACTATGGAAGGAACTGAAGGAATAATAGGAAAGCATTGGACAGCTAAGAAGGAAACTCAAATAATTTTAACAAGATGGTTATTAAGTGAATAATTAATATTTAAATAAAAGGAATAGAAACTAAATAAGTGAAGTCAAGTTATCCGACCATAGATGTCTTAAATGAAAGGACAATTTATTTATGTACCATGAATATAAACATGGAGGACCATGGATGAAGGAAGGAATACAATAGATCTATGAGTACTAAAAGCAAAAGTCACCATGGACACAAATTTGAGTGAAAAATGGATCTTTCATATAGTAGAGAAATGGATGGAAACCTATTAATAGCCTGGAGGACAAGGAAAGCAATTTAATAGGCATAAAAAGGAATTCCGACTTAGCTAAGCCCTTGTCTAAGTACACTCAATTAATCTCAAATATGTAAATCCATTTTGGCAGAGCTCTCCGCCGGACCGCAAGCAGACAAACAACTCGACGAGTCCGACGCTGCGGCCCAAGCCGTCGGCCCATTTGACCGGACGCGGCGCGCAGTTGATTAACATGATACGGAACAAGAAACTGGATGCTGGAGCAAACTATAATACACTGGCCGCGTCGACGTCGGTGGCTACTCGCAGCCAGGGAACGCCGGCTCGCCAAATGGAACGCGCCGAGCTGGTGTCGACGCCCACCTGTGAACTGAACGAGCTGGCCGCGGCGGAGCACACGTCCACGCCCATACAGCAGACCAAGGATCTGCTGATATTCTCAAAGCGGCTGCCATCGCCGTCGGCGAGTCCGTCCGCGTCAATATTGAAGCGAAAGCTGCGCTGCGAGAGCATCGATGACTTTGAGTCGCCGGCACTGAAGCGTAAACGGGTCAGTTTCCATGATCCGCCCGTGTCCATAACGAAGGAGTATCTGCGCGATGTGGAGGAGACGCGGAGCGGCAAGCCGAAGCGCTGCCTGCTGCTGGACAAACTTGCCCAGACCACGGAGGTGCGGCAGGCGCTGAAGCGACGCGGCCGACTGGACAGCATCATCGAGATCGAGAAGTTTGCGCACGAACAGACCGCCAGGAGCGCGGCCGTGGATAAGTCAATGGACAAGTCCCATGAAGCAATGGAGGACGAGGCTTTCGATACGCTCAAATGGAATGAGACAACAACGACCACAGCGGGCGGCAGCGATGAGAAGAACCAGCCGGAAGCCGAGGCTCTGCCTGCTGGCACGCCCAGTCGTGACCTGGCCATACTTGATGCAGAGTCCGCATTGGATCTGGTTGTGGAGCAATGCTCGCTGGATTCTGTGCTGGAGCGTTTCTTTGCCAAAGCCCGCAGCTCGCCGCTGAAGGGCGCCCACAATCTGGCCAAACTCCTGTCCACTCAGATGAAGGCCAACGACAAACTGAAGACCACGGTGCTGGAGACGCTGTCCGAGAATCATTCGAAAGATTTCCTGGATCATGCAGTGCGCGAGAACCTGTCCTCGGTGGTGTGCGATCGCCTCAATCTCAACTCCGTGCTGGAGTACATTTGCGCCAAGTCGAAGATCAACAACGCCTGCCGGGCCAGCCTCTTGGCCCAGGTGCCAGCGATGATACGCCTGGAGTCGGAGCGCTTGAGTCTGCTCCAGCAGCTGTTGCAGCATTGCAACCTCGGCGATGACCAGCTGCTCGATCTCATTGGCCAGTTGATGCAGCTGCGCGACAATCGGAGCAACTGCATCCTTGCCAGCGGCAGCGCCGGCGCCGGTAGCATTAATGACAACGTCGCCGAAACAGCGGCCGACTCATCCTCCAATTTGTGAGTCGAATATTACTTCCTGAAAGTATTTTATATCTATTTTTGACGGCCATTATCAAGAAATCGTTTGACCTGATATCTGCCGTAGCCTAAGTTACATTTTTTATAGTTATACGCCGTTTATGGCACCTGCTTTTACGGCTTACCCCGATTACAATTACATATATATATATATATATGGAATACAAATTATTTTTACCCAAAGCCCAATGACAACATTAACATCATTTCAAACATTTGCAGGAGATAGCAATTGGGGAATTATTCTTCTTAAGATCATTTAATAAATATAAAATGTTTTTTATACTCGTAAAACTGTCCATAGTGTAATTTTGAAGGATATCTTATCGGTTTCTGAAAGATACAATATAGTACAATACGTTAATCTTTATAGTGAAAACGAGAGTCGGTAGATTTGTGAGATCCGTAAGCTATCCATTGTAGGTAGAAAATTTATACTTGAACTTTACATTTTTATTAAGTATATAATCCTTATCCACATAAAAATGGGTTTCAAGAGCTTAGGGATATAGCAAGCTGATCTATTTTTAAATTTCTCGCTCTAAAAAATACTATAATTATAATTATCTAACTTGATATCTCAATTAAATTAATTAATTAATTAATTTACAGAGTACCTACTAGTCGGTCACTTTCGACTAGAGCATTTACACTGCCCTTATATGTGATTCTCACAACCTTTTGCCCAGCCCTTCTGGTCACACTGCTTCAATAATAATCCCCATAAGCTTTATCCACAGCGAAAGCTCTTAAGTGGACATTTTGACCCAGTAACCTTCAGTGGAGGATTTGGCTACGTTGTCGCAGCAAAGATAAGATTACTAGTATGCATATTAAGTGCTAGTAGAGCAGCTACTAAAAGCCGCAAGTATTCATATTTGTTGGCATGTGTATTTGCCGTGTACAATTCCATTGATAATGTTCACGTGCGGACATTGCGTCTCGCCGCGAGCTTTATCAGTCGGCGGCGTCTGCCGACATCGTGTGACGGCGAGCTTTAAAGCTTTCCGCGTAAGCGTGCGGCGCGGAACAGTTGCCGGCTGAAATGGCCAAGAGCTGAGAACCCGCTACGAAGAAACGATACGTTTTATATCAAATGCAGATACCAAAAGAAAAGACAGCAAAAACAAAACAATCGCCTGACAAACTGGCAAGGTTATTTGTAGGTCTGCACTTTGTGGGTCTGGGTCTGGCTGTATATAAATAGCCTGTTGTTGTTGCCTTTCTTCTGGCTAGACAATTGTTGCTGACCTAACCCAAGCTGCTGGACGTCATCATGCACGTCCAATGTCTGCTCCCTGTCTACGAATTGTTATTTCTTTCTCTACTTCTTCTCCGGATGACGTCGGACCTGAATTAGCACTGGATTTGGGCTATAGCTGACGTTTCTAATTTCGGTTATTTAATTTGTGTTAGCTGTCGCTAATGAATCATTCATAAATCGCGGCAAACCAAGTGGAATGCGTAAAGCAATTGACGAAATTCCGCTTATCAATGGGCAATTCACAGTTACACTGCACAGCAGGGAAATAGTTTCGTGCAGAGGCTGGACAAATAACTAGGTATGGGGAAAAAAATAATGGGAAAAATACTAAGGGAATAAATTTAGAATAATGGGAATAGAGAGAGAGAGAGAGAGAGAGAAGAATACTATGGGAAAATGAATATGGATAATATAGGTAAATAATTAGACCCTTCCATAATCAATTCATTTCGATATGCGAAATCAAAATGAATACTCGACTTTATAAACATATTTGAACTTCAAATTCAACTGTCAGGCCAGAGCAATTTTTTTTTTTAAATCGAAAATTTGATTGTGCAGTGCTTGGATTAATTTTATCTCTTATGACGCTTCGTGCCGCCATTTATCAGCCTAGATATGCGAGTAAGTACTCCCATAGTATCTACAGACCGGCATATGTGCAAACAAATTGAATAATCACAAAGTCATGGGGTGAATATAGTGAATAGGCCGGGATGCGACTATAAAATACTCTATAACTCAAAATAGTTATATATGAGCTTATATGAATCAGAGACCTGCATGCATTTGAAAATGACTGAACCTTGTACTTTAAGATCGCATCGCGTGTTGAAAATTAATCATGCTATTTACTTTGAACTATTAGCCTAGCATGCCCTCTCTGTGCATAGTGCGACAGGGCAGAGCATTGTTTAAATATGCGTGTCTAAAGATATGAATATAGAATAGCGCTCGGTTAGTTACAAAATGAAAATAAACTAATAGGTAAAAATAATATAAACGACGCCGTATCGCCGCCACAAGGTGAACTCATCATTCACGAATAAACGAGTGTGTGAATAGTTCGTGAGTTTCAACTTTTTGCCGAGTGCTTGCTAGCCAATTAGACGTGTGTTATAGACGCGAGAGCGGATGTAAGAACAGCTGTTGCTTAGAGAAACGGCAAGGGGGAGGTGCAGTTCGACAAGTTGCAAATTCTCTGAGCCAAAAAAGCTGCACATGCAACGGCAACAGCTGCTGCACAGCCCAGCAAAAGCAGCCAAACAGCCAACCAGCCAAAAAGCCAGCCAGCTGTGAACGAACGGTCTGCGTTTAGAGCGACGACGACTATCAACGCACACGGACGGGGTAGCAGGCAGCAGAGCAGCAGACAGAACAGTTCACAAATTTCCAGCAGCGACGATTACGAATTTCCAGCATCGGAATAACAACAACGGTAAGCTTAATACACAATTTGAACTAGCTCAATGCGGTCGCGCGGGCAATAACAGCACTAGCAGCAGCAGCAGCAGCAGACCGAGCCGAGTGCGAGTGCTAAAAGTGAATAAAAACTCTGATGTAATCATTCGCTATTACGCTCGCCACAAAAAAAAAAAAAAAAAAATTCAAATCGCATTGAATTTCTTCAAATATCGCCGCCGTTGTTGCCGCTGCGGACTCTGTTAGATTTTATTCAGCATTTATTGCGTGCCGCGAACGGTTTGGCTGGAAACAACTCAAGGTAAACATTTGGTACGCGCCTGGAAACGCATAAACGACGCAGCTCAAATTGTAGGTACATTTTTATGCGTTTATTCAACACTGGGCAAAGCTTTGTTTGAGTCTACCTACGCACTGCTGCGGCATGTCATGGAACTAAGCGCGCCCATATCGATTTAACACACTGAACGGAATTTTTTTTTTTGTTGCCAATTGTACATGTGTACGTGGGAATGTTGGAATGAAACACACACACACACACACTCGGTTCCAATGGTGCGCGCGCCGGCAGCGCTAAAAAGTTCGCAACAAAAAGCTTGTAGCGTGCTCTCTCCCATTGCTTTCGCGCTCTCACCACATGAAAAGAGAGCGACGAAAGAAAGAGACATTAACTGAAGAAAAAGAAAAAAACAAGTGCTTAATATGCCGTTTAATTAAATTTTAAAAATAATTTTTAATTAGCTAAATAACAATAAAGAGAGCGTTTCGTTGCCTTAAGAGAAGATGTCGTCGCGCATGTTTAAATTCGGCGTCACCGCCGCCAGCGCCTGTGTGGGCTCCGTAATTGCCTCATGGACCATCGATCGCTGGAACTCGCCGCATGTGGTAAGTGCAAATCGCTTTTGGCCATTAGCCAGTCCTTAACCAAATTAGCTCCACAGGTCAACAATGCCATGCAACGCCCACCCAAACGCAAGCGCACCCTGCCCATGCGCAGCGAACAAATCAAATCCCTGATGAGCGGCGAGGAATTCGATGTGCTCATCATTGGCGGCGGCGCCACTGGCGCTGGCTGCGCCCTCGACTCCATTACAAGAGGTTCGTATAAAATACCCTTTACAATTAACTGCATTTAAAGGGTTCGCTTCGACACAGGTCTAAAGACGGCACTCGTCGAGCTGGATGACTTTGCCAGCGGCACCTCATCGCGCTCCACCAAGCTAATCCACGGTGGCGTGCGCTATCTGCAGAAGGCTATTCTAGGCGTAAGTATGCTCAGATTCTGTATACTTGCAGCAAGCAGGTATTACCCCGCCAGAAACTCTAATGGTGCCGGGTAATCCCTGCGAGTCCAGTAAATAGGAGTATTGTGTTTCATTAAAGCTTAGATCCTAGATCGTAGATAACTAAGGCTAGAAGTAATGCTTGTTTTTGTGTATATCTATCGCTACAGCTAGATCTTGAGCAATATAGAATGGTTAAGGAAGCGCTGGCGGAGCGCGCCACAATGCTTGAATCGGCGCCACATTTGACGCATCCGCTGCCCATTATGCTGCCCGTCTACACGTAAATAGCTCGACTCGACTGCTGACCACGCGGATTTATAAATATTGTTTGCATTTCAGGTGGTGGCAGGTGCCGTATTTCTGGGTGGGCATCAAGGCGTACGATCTGGTGGCTGGCGATCGCAATGTGAAGAGCTCGTACTTGCTGTCCAAGAAGGATGCACTGGAGCTGTTTCCCATGTTGAAGAAGGATAAGTTGTGCGGCGCCATTGTCTACTATGATGGCCAGCAGGATGATGCACGCATGTGCCTGGCGGTGGCTTTGACGGCGGCTCGTCATGGCGCTACCGTCTGCAATCATGTGGAGGTCAAGGAGCTGCTCAAGAAGGACGACGGCACCGGCAAGAAGGTGCTGTGCGGCGCCAAGGTCAAGGATCATATCTCTGGCAAGGAATTTACGGTCAAGGCCAAGTGCATCATCAATGCCACCGGCCCCTTCACCGACTCCATTCGCAAAATGGACGATCCGACGGTGAAGAGCATCTGCTGTCCCAGTTCGGGTGTGCACATTGTGCTGCCCGGCTACTATAGCCCCGATCAGATGGGTTTGCTCGATCCCTCAACATCTGATGGACGCGTCATCTTCTTCCTGCCCTGGCAACGGCAAACAATTGCCGGCACAACAGATCTGCCCTGCGAAATAACGCACAGTCCCACCCCGACCGAGGATGAGATTCAGTTCATCTTGAGCGAAATCAAAAACTATCTCAACGCCGACGTTGAGGTGCGTCGCGGTGATGTGCTGTCAGCCTGGAGTGGCATACGCCCGCTCGTCTCCGATCCCAACAAGGACGATACACAATCCCTGGCGCGCAACCATATCGTGCATGTCAGCCCCTCGAATCTGATCACCATTGCCGGCGGCAAGTGGACCACGTACAGAGCCATGGCGGAGCACACCATGGATGCGGCCATCAAGGGTAACTATTCATTAAGATATCTGGTGTTAAATCAGCTTGAACTGCCTTAATCTTTGCCAGCCTGCAACCTGAAGCCGGAGCGCGCCGAGGCTGTCACATCGTATCTGAAAATTGAGGGCGGCCAGGGCTGGACACCCACCATGTACATACGCCTGGTGCAGGATTTCGGGCTGGAGTGCGAGGTGGCTCAGCATCTGGCCAAATCGTATGGTGATCGCGCCTTTGCCGTGTCCAAGATGGCATCGCTCACCGGCAAACGCTGGCCCATCATTGGCAATCGCATCCATCCCGAGTTCCCCTACATTGATGCCGAGATTCGTTATGGCGTGCGCGAATATGCCTGCACCGCTGTGGACATGATTGCACGCCGGCTGCGTCTGGCTTTCCTCAATGTGCAGGCCGCCTCAGAGGCGCTGCCCGTCGTCGTGGACATTATGGGCGAGGAGCTGCAGTGGTCCAAGGAGGAGAAGGAGCGCCAGCTCAAGCATGCCACAGAATTTTTGGCTAACGAAATGGGACACACCATCAATCGCCAGTCAAAGGAAAGAATACCCATCAAATTGTCCAAGGAGGAGATTCAGACATATGTCAAACGCTTCCAGCTTATCGACAAGGACAAGAAGGGCTACGTATCCATCAACGATATTCGTCGCGGACTCAAGAGCTTCGGCGACGGCGATGTCTCCGGCGAGCAATTGCACGACATTCTCAAGGAGATCGACACCAACATGAACGGCCAGGTCGAGCTGGATGAATATCTACAGGTGCGTATTTACACAAAATCAAAATTTATTTCATTTCACATTACACAAGACACATTACAAAAGTTAAAATTGCAGTCGGGTATAACCGACTGCCTAATACTCGGTTTACAGTCTAATAGACTGAGTCGATGTCGTCCTGATTTTTGGGCTGGCGACTATAGGCAGTGTACATTTATTTTTAATTATATTAATTGATCTTAGAGGGGATGATATGATTAGTTTACATGCTAGCTTCAAGGACGACGACACGTCTGACACGGATATATATAGGTATCCCAATTTCTCTCTTAAACGGACACACAAACGGACATTGCATACAAAACACACTTCTTTCACATCGAGCCGAGTCAAGTTACATACACATATATATATCAAATATATAAAATCAAATTGCACAGATGATGTCCGCGATAAAGACGGGCGATGTGGCCTATTCCCGGTTCGCTCGCATGGCCGAGCTGGAGGAGCAGAAGCACGATGCGGCTAACCTGAAGCAGAAGATCAGCGTTGATCGCTCCGGCGGCGGCTTGTAAGCGACTTAAAGGACGAGGACTTCACGCGTTCATCTACTAGGACTAAGCTGCAACGAATTATACAAACTATATAAACAACTTCTTTACATTTTGCTGTTAATAAAGTCTTGAAACTCACACCGACAGCTACGTTACGCAATGCAACAGCTACTGAACTCTGCCGGAGACTGTTGACTTGGAGCTGGCGGTTGCCTTTGAGCTGGCTGTTGCCTTGGAGCTGTCTGGTTTTTTGGAGCTGGCTGCTGCTTTGGAGCTGACTGGTTTTTTGGAGCTGACTGCTGGTTTGGAGCTGCCCCCGTCTGTCGTCCATTCCTTTGCTCGTCTTGGCTGAGGCGTTCCGCGCGTGTGCCTAGGTTTTAAGCATAACTTGTTAGTTAAAGGACGCCCATCCAGGAGTACTCTTTGAGTCCATCTTACTGAACGAGGATCTGACATTTCTGTCAATATCCGCCGTCAAGTTGCCATCGGCGCGCTCGAGCGTATAAATATGTGCCACGACGCAGTTGAACATATCGTCGCGTTGACGTTGTGTGAATGCGGCAAACAAGTCCAGTTTGGGATCCCAGAAAAAGAGCAGCTTACCATTGCGGCCAGACGTTGCCAAGGAAGTCTTCAATTCTCTGCACATCTGAAAAAACGGACAGACTTTTAGACGCCAGGATGTTTATAGAATTGATTGAAATCAAGTATATTTTTGAAATAGGATTGTAAATTTGAAAAATACTTGCTCGAGGCACTAATTCGTCTTTCTTATCATACTTACGTCTATCAATATATCCTTTAGCGTCTTGGTACTCCAATAGGCGTCGGATTTGGCCTTGATTTGCCACAGAAACAGGGTCTTGATATAATAGCTCTTCAGATTGTTCATATTTTGTTTGCTATCGCGAAACTTCTTCATAAATTTAATAGTTTCCTTCAGCTTTTGCTTGCCCTTGATCATAACATTTTCGGCATCGTAGTAGGAGGCGCGAAAGGACACGTTGTTCGCTTCAAATGGCTTCAAGGGTTTCGGTATCGCGTCCCAATACCGAATATCCTTAAAAAACCTAAGCTGCTCTGGCTCCAAAATATTTTGTCTGGCAATCAACCTAATGGCTGGCACAAAGTCCACCGAGTATTTAATATCCCTGTCGTTGATAAACATCGTGTGTGCCGGGCCGCATCGCCTGTAGACAATTGGCGTGACCCTTCCGTTGACCTCGATTTTGTTGCCCATTTTGTTTAGAGCCCGTGTCACGGCGCCCTGTATCATGTTCTGCATCTTGTCCTCGAGCAGCAAATTCCTGTTCGTGACTAATTTTTTCAAATACGTGTAAGAGAGCTGGTTGTGCTCCTGTTTCTCCAGAGCGTTTAGCACCTCGGTCATGTCCAAGGTAACATTGCCGGGTCGCCTGGGATCCTTTTTCACAATAATCCTGTCATTCTCGGGAAACACCAAATGAATTACCAAATCAAATTCGTCCGGTTTCGTAATCTTCAAATTGTCCGCATAACTTCCTGTATTTATGTATATATATATAGGGGGATAGAGTGTAGACCGCATTACTAAAGCCCAAATAAAGCCTATATTATATACGCGAATAGTCAGCTTGATAAAGTGTTCGGTTCACACAATCCCTTATCGCATCTAGTTTTATAGCTTCATGATGTATGGATTTCTTGGAAGCAGTTACGCAGATCTTGATAAGATCCCAATAAAGTGCAACTCTTCAGATTACAAATTGGGAACTAAACCTTTATCTTTGGAATATCGCGGACCTGCCGGCAAATGCCAATGATATTCCAGTTAAGTCTAGTCAAATGATGAAGGAATCCAATAATTCGTTAGGTTCAAATCTTGGATAATAATATTAGATTTTATGCCAAAACAAGCTTTATGATAGATTTTAATAGAACTAAAATATCTTTTTGAAACATTTTTCATACATTAAATTGAGCCACAAATTGTTTCTAAATGCAAATAATGGTATTCGATTTGAATTTCCAATTCAACTGGGAGACAGAAAATAAAACTAGTTTACACAAACGGAAATTTGAACTTCCAGCACAGCGAGCCGCGCCCCTAAGTGAGGCGGCACATGCTCACACAGACACACACACACACACACACACACACACACACAGATGGCACGCATTAAACAACACACACGCACATATACAGACAGGGTATGCCCTATATGCTATGCATGCATGCGTGTAACGATTCCAAATCTGTGTTGGCTTTCCAGCTGCAAATGCCACGTTGACGCCACAGACACAGTTACACGTTGCAGTTCCTTTTTTTGCTTGGGTTTCGCTTACCACCCAATTTGTGGCCACACAACCATTTGCCAAGTGGCTGTTCCTCCTGCAGCGTTTTGTAGATCGAATTTCGCAGTACATTATAATGATTTGTAAATATTTGCCGATCACCGTTGATATTTATATAATCTGCATTGGTTGCATGTAGAATCTGTTCTAGCAATGACATTTTTTTTCGCACTTGCACTGCAGTTAACTGATCTTAACGTGTCCAACATCAAGAATAAACTGAAACGGCATACTGCAAACTGTAAAGAAGAAAATTAAGAGTGGGTCTCAGTTGCAGCGATAACGAAGCGAAATGAAAGTTCGCTCTCTTAGTCTCTCACTCTCTCTCTCTCTCTCTCTCTCTATGCTACGTTTATTTAATAAAGTTTATATGTATTTTTTTTTTGCTTTAGGGCAAATGTCTGCGGGACTTACTCTTAATTTTTTTTTTCGGGAAATGTCTGCACACAAGCAATACATTTTCGGGACTTTTCATTTCTGTTTGCTCATTTTGATAATCGTTCTTTCTTTGATGATCTTTCAGGGGGCAGGTCATATTTGAAAAGGTCAATGTTGGCGTAGTTCTGTGTATTGCCCGCGTGTCTATACAATGTAGCACTTGAGTTTGTATTTTTGTTTGTTTATGGAGAAATGTGTGGAGTCAAGAAATACATTTTCGGGAATTAAGTTCTGTTTGTATGATGATTTATTGTGCAGTTCATATTTCAAAACAGTGATCAGATTAGTTGAAATAAAAACACAGTTTCAGCGCGCCGAAGATTGAATTCCCTTGAATAAATAGAGCTTAAAGTTTTTTTGTAGCAGCAATATGATACATATTTTGCCAATATAGTCAAGCCAACTTTGCAATCTTTAATAAACAAAATAGTTACTTATACAGTTAATAAATACGTGGTCCGATCGGATCTGGCAGACACCAACATATATATGTACTCCCTGCAATGCAAAGTTTAAGGGTTTTAGACCTTTTCCGTTCGTTTAACTTTATTGAATACATATTAAATACATCAAACATCAGTTATGACCATAACCAGGCCAGATGAAGTGCAACTATTTTTGGGCACGTTCGCCAGGCTACGGCACAGGCACAGCAGTTTGTACATTAAGTAAACAGACAATATTCTCGACCATAAAGGCCATATCAAACACCCCAACTGGGAAGTCCCGTACAGGGCCACTCGACACCCATTCATTTTTTTAAAATAAGATTACAGTATGTGGTTGAAGAAAATAAATGTATAAGCATTTCCTTATCGACATTCGGCAAGAGCTGTACGTATTTCAATATAAGCGTTTATTGTTTTTGTTTAGCTTATGGTCAATAGCTTCCTTTGAGCTTGGGACAAAATCGTCTCGTCAGCTTTTTATGGCGCTGGTAATGTGATTTCTTGGCGACAGGCGAGGGTCAAATATGGCCTCAATGTTTACTTGACAACCTTGAGGGCGAAAAGAAAGCATAAACAAACAAAATGCAAAATCAAAATAACATACCATTCTCCAGCAGAAACATTCCGCGATCGTACAGTATAATGCTTTCCACTTCAGACATACAATAAACAGCAAATATAAGTATATTTTATAAACAATTTGCATTTAAATGCTCACCCAGGGGCGCCAGCATTAAGCGCACCGTATAAAAGCATACGATGCGACGCCAGTGCAAAAGATCTGCATCGATTTGTTCAGGATTCGCTGCTTGCAGCGAGGCAAAGCGCGTGCCTTCGATGGCCTTTTGAAAGTAGCTCAAATTGAAAAGGAAAATAAATGAATGCATTACATTAAACTCTTTCGAATCTCTACGCAGGTCTTACTCATTGAAAGTCATGCCGGGCGCATGTTTCACATTGCGCAGTGCCGAGTGCCTTAAGTCGGGCAACTGTTCGACAATAATTCGCTCGGCTGCGGCGCGTAGCGAGTGTATCTTGAGGTATTCATATTGTCCAGCTTGAAGGCGATCACTGTACTGTTCCATCGCGTGGCAAGCGATCTCGCGTGCCTCGTAGCTAAGCTGACAGTTGGGATCGTTTTGCAGCCGCGAGCTAAGCGGATAGCCGTGCAGCTCCTTTCGGGGCTGGGTTTGCCGTGTGCTCATTTTCTGGTAACAGCAGCCCACAAAATTCAAGAATTTCGCTTGCTTACAGTTCAAGAACATGCGCATTAGCGTGGCGCCCAAATCACCGCACGGATGCAGTCCAATGATGCCGAATTGGAAATCCGTGTCTGGCAAGTGGAAAGCCTCCCGTATGCTCTCGATAAAATGCACAGGCTTGGTGTCGCTGCTGAGACGCTGGGTTAGATGCACTGGTCGCTTAAAATGGGTCGTTTCGCTGGCCTCCATGTGCTTGGCAGCCGTGCTCTCCAGTTTGGCATCGATTGCCACCGCTTGCTCGTTCAAATCCGGCTGCATTTCAAGGCAGCAAACATTGATGCCATAGCCATAGGCCAGTATGCGGGCCAAGTGTCCTACGCCGGCGCCAAAGTCTACCACGAAGTCAACCGATGTCTGTTGGCAGCTGCGCGCACAAATTGCGGCCATTCTTTTGATTTCATGCGACTTTTTTGGCTTCACACACTTCATAAACATGTGCTTCAGCTTGCGGTGCTCCAGCAGTGGGCAAGGCGGCAGTGAAACCTGTGCATTAACAGCCATTAATATGTCTTACCAAGGTCTATTAGCTTACCAACATCAAGCTGGTTCTTTTGCGTCCTTCTGATGCACAGAGTGCGCAACACCTGGCGCAGCGCTAACAGCTCCAAGGGCCAAAGCACACGTGTTTTAATAGAATCGACGCTTTCGCATTGCAGCAGCTCGCTCAACTTTTCTACCGGCAAGTCTTCCAATTGTCTGCGCCAGCTTAAAGGAAGCTTGCTCCAATGGTCATCCACATAAAAGTCCTGCCGAATAAAAGAGATCTTGTTATATGGTTTTGAAAGAAGCGAAAAGCCTATCTACCAGCACATAGGAATCCAATAACCACTCGTATCTTTTAACTACATCTAAACAGGCGGCAAGTTTGTTGTTAACATCAAGCATGTTGGCCAGCTGTAGCAGTAGGATTTAACAGCTGATTAGGCGCGCACAAAATTATTTAAAAAAAATATTGTATTGTTACTTTTTCTGCGCAAACAGTAAACAACCAGGGGCGCGCATTAGTTATCGTTTTAACAGAGTTTTATCTACATTACCCAACACTGTTTATAATTTAAAGTCGATAAATCAAATCAGAAGTAGTAGTCGAGTTCAGTATTTTCGATAGGTAGATAGAGCTTTCGATGTTTCGTTTTCAACACTAGTAAACAGATTGTCTACCAATAATAAGAGGAAAGAAAAACACGTCGTTCGGGCCTAATTGGCCAGTTAAAACGGAAAGAAAACAATAGAACGCGCAGCAGTTTGTAAGTGCTTCATGAAAAAAAGAGTGAAGTGATGTATTGAACAGTATTTGTGCCTGGCCAGGGCATTTTTCTAATCCCTAAAGGGTGGAGACAGGTATACATACACACACACATATATATTGGCTGTGCCGTTAGCTAAAGCGAAGTGAAAATGCATCTGCATCCAACAAATGGCAATATTTGCGAGCAGATATGAAAGAAAACTACCAATTGACGACACCGAGGCAATAACTTGCGAAATAGCAACAGTTGAGGAGGTCGACGGACATACGGTAAGTGCAGGTGCACATATGAAAATTAACATCGCCCAAAAGAAAAATCAATAATCTGCGACGCCGCTGCCGCTGCCGATTTGTTGATGACGCCGTTTTGCATGATGACGGTGCCTGGCTGTGTCCGTGTGTGTGTGTGTGTGTATGTATAGAAAAAAAGTGTGTTTCTTTGCAGGAATACCTGCTGCGCGTGCAGAGAGGCGATAGCTCCTGGAACGTTCTACGCCGTTACAATGACTTCAATAAGCTGCACAAAAGTCTTCGTATCTCTGGCATTGAATTGCCGCTGCCTGGCAAACGCATCTTTGGTAACATGCGTCCGGACTTCATAGCTGAACGGAAAGAAGCATTACAAGTTTATATAAACACAATACTAATGAATCCCATTTTGGCATCATCGCTGCCAGCCAAGCGCTTCGTTGATCCCGAAAGCTACTCGCAATCATTCCATGGTGAGTTATGCTTAATTGGTAATTAAATGTAACCTTATCATTTTTAACTCAATTGCAGACCATGCAGTGCAACATGCTTTGCTCTGTTTGCGCAACGACACGGTGTGGACGCTGGGCGCCACCATGGGCGCGATAGGTTGGCGGCTACGCAAGCATTACTTTAAGGCGACCACCAAGCCGCCAGAGAAGAGCAGCAACAAGTTGGTCAAGAGCGGCTCACAGAACCAACAGAGCAAGCATTTCGCAGCCGGCAGCAATGGCGGTGCTCACTCAGTATCGATTGATGCGGGCACAGTGGATCCGAATGCGGAAATGGTGGCCGAATGGCTTGAATACGGACCTGACAAGTACGTCGATGATAAGGAAATGAATGGCGTGCTGAAAAGCCTCATGGGCCTGCAGCATCCGCACATTGAGTCCATAGTGCTGGCAGCGAACACCGAAAACGGCTGCTTGATCATCAGAAAGTATGTAAACCTCTTCCTCCTACATATTTATCATGCTAAGCCTGGCCTTTTACAGATTCCATAAGCATGGCACACTCAAGGATGTGCTCTGCATGGCAACGCCAAAGAATCCATTTTTAAGCAAGTACGGCAATCCCAAAGGACGTACAGCTCTGTCCATGAAGCAAGTGGCGACCTATGGCAAGCAAATTTTAGAAACTCTTATATTCTTGCACTCGAAAGGCTATGCTTATGGTAAGTTTAATTTTTGATATAGGGTTACATATTTCTAATTTGATTTTGATTACAGGTCACCTACATTCGGGAAATATTGTCATTGTGGATGACTGTGTCAAGCTGTTGGACGTTGAGAACTATTTGGTGGGTGTGCCGGCGTTTTATCGACCATTTTTCGTGCAGCACAGCAAGATACACACAATTGAGACAGTTGACGTTTACTGTTTCGGTCATGTGCTGTTCGAAATGGCCATGGGCTATCCGCTGCAGGAGTCGGTCGTGCGACAAATAACAGAATGCCCCGAAGCGTTAAGTAAGAACAGCTTAATGTATCCTTTGTTTATAGGGCTAACTAATGGTTTTCTTAACCTGCAGAATCTCTATTGGAGAGCATACTATCGAAGGAAGCATGCAAGGCAGGCCTGCCCACACTGGAGCAACTGCTTGGCCACAGATTCTTTACGCAATATGCAACTGACAGTGGAACCACAGCCGAAAAGCCATACTTCAAGTTGTCCCTGGTAAATTGTATAATTATTTATCTGTAGTCAATTTTCTAAATTCTCGTTTCTTTGCAGAACGCAAAGGAATTGCTTAGGCAGGCGGCCGTTAAGTGCGAGAATCGTTTGCGTGACGAGCAAAAGTCGGTTAAGAACCAAAAGCGTATTGTACGCGTACAGGAGCTGATGAGCTCCGAGGAGGAGAAGCGCAAATCAAAGCAGAAAGCTGTAAGTAGCATTTAAATGTGACTAGTTGTCAAGTAGAAGCTATAGTCGTAGGCTTATCAACACGGTTATTTATTTTATTTCTCTTTTACTTTTGGTAATATTTAGAAGTTAGAGCACAAACAATCGAAGCTTAAGCAACAGGGTTCGCTCCAAGCAAGCAATGGACGCTTGTCGCTGGCGGCCGTGACAGCTGCATCGACCAGCACAGTTACCGCCGGCGGCGGGCTAAGTACGGCAGACTCTTTCAACCGCTCCGACAGCACCCCAGAAGAGCCCCATCTAGCTGGTATTAAATGTGGCTATTTGCTTTTATTTTTCTTTTAACTATGTCCGTGTCACACCTGATCCTAACAATTTGTTGTATGTTAATGTTCACAGCAATCATGCCAGCTGCGCAGCAGTCGCACCAGGTGCTGCCAGCGAGCAGCGCTCCCGTGGAGAGGCAGACATCGACTCCGAACATTGCAACAGAGGACGTTGACGCTGGCGAGGATGAGCCCACGCGCTCAGCATTGCTTGAGTCAATTTGCAAATTCAATCGAGGCTCGCTGCGCAAGGTGCGCTCAAATGATTAGGCGACGCGCAAAGAATTTTACATATTTACATTTTGGACCAAATGTGGCGTTATGAAATAACGGTTCCATCAAATTAAAAGGCAAAACAAAGAACAAATCAATGGAGAATAACCAAAAACAAGAAAACAAATAGATACATTTTTAGATACATATAACAATACATATTGGTAAACTAATGCATCTATTTATTGGCATACTTAAAGAAAAACAATCCAGCAAATAACTATAAGTAACTATATATATATATATATATATATATATATAAACATATATATTTACTAACGAAACCCACTGAATCTGTGTCCACAAAATAACGTATAGAAATGTTTTATGAACTCAAATGATATGTTCGTCTATTTAGTAGCATATATATATATATATCTATGAATCTAAGTTACAAATCACACACGTCTGCGATACGGAGGCGACTAAAGGTCAAGCGTACGCAACTAAAGCTTTACATATACATATACATGACCACTACACGACTGAGACTAACTTTGGTACGAGTATCTTAAATGAAATCACGATTAATAACAAGACAAAAAAAAAAAACAATTTAAAAATTTCCAAAAATTGTTAACTATAAGTCTGCACCAAAATTCGCACGACGATGACGCTCTAAACAAATAATCTACTTATAACTATCATGCATATGTATATGTATTTAATCCATATAATCTGTTCCTTGATGTTGTGCCCCCTCTTTTTTATTGCCGTTACGGTCTAGTATTGAGGACATACAAATGTATTAACTTGGCCAAATGTTGTACTGCTTTGTTTTTATTGGTATACTTTCTCTTGTATTGATATTGATATATTAGATGTTTGAAAGCGTAACAGGCGCATTATTGAATTCAAAAGATATATTTATATATGTATACTCAAACAAAATAATGAACAAACTCATGAAACAGTTGTAATTTGATATTGATGTGTATGTTTGTATTCCTGTCTATGTGTTTTTATGTAACTGACTGTGTATATGTTCAAATATGTGTGTATATATGTATAAGAACATACCAAAACTAATGCGTGTAACGAAAACTATTTGAACAACATACATCCTTGGTGAATACGATACCATTGATATAGTCCTAATGATCCTACAGAATCCAAAAATATGTACGCTCTTGCAGCCTTCCCCTCCTCCCTTAATGGTTCCTAGATGCCCGATAAATCATTGGTTTTACTATACCATTGATATAGTCCTGGTGAACCTAAATATCAAAATTACGTGCAAAATTTGCTCGTAAATGGTCTAGATATGAATATGCATGCTTTTCTTTCAGCCGCCCCACCTCCCTTTTGGTTCCTAGATGACCCATAATATCCTTGATTAATAAAATATCATTGATAGAGTCCTGGGGAACCTATAGTTCCAAATCCCAACAAAATTACCCTTAAAGCATTATCCACATTTAAATTAAGATTTAAAAATTAACGGCCGTTAAATCCCCATTGCACTGTGCCCGGCCGTTGGCTCACATTTTCAAAGCAAAATTCAGCTGAAATACCAGGCGAACAGAAATGCCCAGCAGGTAGCTGCACCGAAAAATTTTTTATTTAACAGTCCACTGTTAACTAACAGTGGCATCAGCTGTTACTTAACAGACCACTGTTAAAAATGGGGCGGTCGATTTTTAACGCCAATTTAGCAAAAATACCAGGCGAACAGAAATGACCAGCAGGTAGCTGCACCGAAATTTTTTTATTTAACAGCCCGCTGTTAATTAAAATGCCACTGTTAACTAACAGCGACCGCTGCTGTTAGTTAACATACCACTGTTAAAAATGGGGCGGTCGGTTTTTGACGCAAATTTAGCAAAAATACCAGGCGAACAGAAATGACCAGCAGGTAGCTGCACTAAAATTATTCGTGAGTGGAAAAATGCATTGCATACCCAAACGGGGCGCGTGGTCGAGCAGCTCGCTGGGTGCCTAAATTTCAACGAAAATTCGGCTGAAGTACCAGGCGAACAGAAATGAGCAGCAGGTAGCTGCACTAAAATTTTTCGTGAATGAAAAATTCCATTGCATAGCCACAAGGTGCAGCTGGGTAAAATGGGTACTGAAAGCATAAAACATACATATTTCGGGACCGTTTCCGTGCACATTTCGCAGGGATTCGGTGCTCTAGGTTCACAAGGACTATATCAATGGTATGGTATAACCAAGGATATGTGGGTCAACTAGGTACCGTCGAGGGGGAGGGGTCTATTGCTGAGAGGGCGGCTGAAAGATAAAGCATTCATATTTTTTGACCATTTCGGTCATGTAGGTTCACCAGGACGATATCTTTGGTATGATAAAACCAAGAATATGTGGGTCATCTAGGAACCATCTGTTTTGATTGTTCGCCAGGACTATATCTATGGCACAGTGTAACCAAGGATAATGTTGGTCAACTAGGAACCATTTGTTCTCTTTTACATTTGATTTTCTTACTTCGCAAATAAATAAACATGTTTCTTATAATTTCAATAATTCTTAAACCATAGTTCTACTTAATTGTAGGCTGTTTTATTAGATGTTCTTTTTCATATTGGTGAATAAGACGTTATGCTAACATATATAAACTAATCTCGGCTGGGTTTCTGCTGCTTTTACGCCTGATTCCGTGGTAATCCAGTTCTTCTGTTGTATCTAGTGTCTAGATATATCGCTCTTGATGTGTTTGGTAGCTGAGTTGCTTTCCTGCTGCCTCTACATTTCGAAGCTTCAAGTTTAGCTGGGCCTTTTTATCCTGGAATGCTGATAAAAAGAAAAAAGCATCGTGTCCTTTAAAATAAATACGAATCTTAAGGTAGATTTACCTGCATTTGGTTGGGTGGCAGCTGGCAAGGTCAGTTAACCGAGACGTGCCCGGTTAATGTGTGTCAATTATCGATTCAACATTTGGGCCCGGGCCGGGCCATTGCCAAGGCGACAGAGCCATGGAGGGCACCTTGTCATGCTGTAAATGGAATAATATAATAATCATTTGCGGTTTTATGGCAAGCCGCGACGTACTCGAGACATCGGAAATTGTAATTGAACACGTGACGGCAAATGGCCAGCGCGGCGCAAAACTGGTCGGGCTTGGTAACGCTTTGTCTGGGCCAGGAACGCGAGAAGGTACTTCGATTGATTTTGTGCTTACTTGGTTCGCACGACAATATGTGCGCCTAATGAACGGGAATGCTTCGAGCATGGGTAGAATTACAAAAATTTGTCCAAGTCACGCATATGGGCGATAGCTGGGCGAGGGGCGGATGGTGCCAGAGCGAATCCCCTGGAGTTAGTGCCAGTTAGTCGCATGTAATGTAATAGATTCTGTTTCGACACTTTCGTTTTGTCACCATGCAGAGGCAGACGAGCAGCCAGCGCACATCCCTGACCAAGTGCAATGTGGCCGCAGCATTGGACGCGTCGTCAAAGGTGAGTGTTGCACAGGTCAGATAATGTGCCCCGACGGATTATGTTCCTATCCTCTTGTCCTGTGTGCCAGGCGACTATGCGCTATATGCCCAGCTATCGGCTGGAGCCAAAGAATCCCCTGAACAAGGACCGCTTGGAGCTGACCATGCGCACCATCATGAACAAGAACTATAACGAGGATTATCTGTTCCATCCGCGACAGTCCTATCATCTGGCTGCCCAGGTCAGCGAAGAGATAAAGAACAGCATCAAACTGTTGAATTTCGACAGGTGGGCTACAGATCCTCCTTACTGAATTGCCCTAAACCTTTGCCTTGTGCCTGCCCAGATATCGTTACGTTGTGCTGGTGACCGTTGGCGAGCTGCTAATGCAGGGCCTCTGCTCCATGGTGAACTTCCTGTGGGATGCCGACAAAGATGGCTTTGTCACCTACACGATCGAGACGCCCAAATTTGTGGCTGTCTGCACGATATTCTATTTGTACTACGATTGAGTGTGTAGGGGATCTAAAACCAGAAAAAATAAATATATAAGAACGAATTTTAAGCAAGAAAAAAGAAGTGGCATAATAATGAAAAAGGAAAAGAATTACACAAAGTGCTTACAAAACATAAAAACAGCTTCAACTGGATTTCCCAGCGCTTTGCAGCCCGCCTGTCCGGGGGGGGATTTGGTAAAAAGATCTATGGATTATATTTCCTGTGCTTTTCGAATTGTCACTAATTCACTTTTTGGCACAATTTCGTTGAGAACACTTGCAAATTAAATCAATATGCCACACACACACACACACGCACACAGATTAAAAGTCGAGTTTCCGTTTGTTCATATTTATTTGAATATCGTTTAAATGTATATATAATAGATATATAATATGGTGAAGCATAATTTAATTAACTGGACGACGTCTGCACAAAAACCAATTAATTGTATAATTTAATTTATGTAGTAATTCCAATAGATTGTGGACATATGATAAATCGGTTAAGGAAGTCTCATAATATATTTATGTATTATATAGGCCACACACATGCACACATATACACGCACACTTTTGTCGCTCCAGATCATAATTCGTAAAACTATATGCATAGATATATATATATATATATATAATTTTATCTGTTGGACACTTCAACTGACACAAACATTGGGCATACAACATGGGTATGCCTGGATTTATTATATAGCATTATAGATCATATATAGATATCGATATACACCATATATAGGACACAGAACTTGTTGTTGGAGAGCGCAACCATAAGAAAACCAATGTAACATTTGCAAAACCCATTTCAACAATCAAAACATTTTGAAACAAATGCTACACGACGTTCTCTTTTTGCTAGCTGGAACAGAAAACAATACCAAAAACTCGGGAACAGCTCACAATGCACACACATTGATATCTCGGGAGTCGGTGGCCCAGATCAGAGACACTTTAACAAACGCACAAAGTACCTGAATCCTGAATCCTTGGGCGGGCAACGGAACAGAACGGAACTCAGATTTTGAATATATGCGTATTTTCATTTTTAGATCACTTTCGGCCCACAAACAAATATATATAAATATATCGTGTATATAAATTTAAATGGATATTACTAGTGGGGCCCCACCCCTAGTTAACATTCAAGCACTTCTTTTGCACTATTTTTGTTCACGACAATCAAAACATTTTGGATAAAACTCTCAGAACCAAAAAATGACAAACTCTCAAAACTGATTCGAACTATTATAACACAATATGCAGTAAAATAAGTTAACACAAAAACTGATGTACATATTTTTTCCATTTTGTTTAAACTTTTTGTTGTTGTTGTTTTTTGTTGATTTTTTTTTTTTTTTTGCACTAGTTGCACATTCGAAAAGATATTGTATACAAAGCTTTTGTTTTGTTTGGTTTTTGGTTTAGGTTTTTGTTGTTGTTGTTTTTTTTCTTTCTTTTTTTAGTGTGGGATGAGGAAATTTTTACACTGTTTGTAAAAATAATTGAAAATCAAATATACAATTAATAGTTATTAAATATTGAAAACTTTTGGCACAATTGTAATTAAAAAAATTGTTTTTCATTTTTGTTTTTGAACTGTAGAAACTTTTACACTCTCACTACACAGGAAAACAGAATGTGTATGAAAAAAAAAAAATAAACCATAAATAAGGTCGATTGATTGATTGATTAACAGATTGATTGAGTTGTCTGCAAAAAGAACAATAATAATTGGATTAATACAGATTCTGCAAAACTCAGCATATATATATATATGTATATATATAGAGTATCATATGTGTGTGTGTGCGTGTGTCTTCTTCTTCTGCTTCTTCTTCTGGGAGCAGGAGCTGTTGTCACAGGTAACTCCAATTGTCTATTGATTGAACTATGCTTCTACCAATACACATACATGCGCATATGTATATGTGTATTTGTATTTGTTATTCTGGAGAGGGTCTTGTGTAAGTCTACGACATCTAAATTACGTGTCCACAGAACTCGTCTGGGTTGGGGGTCCTGCATTTGTTGTTCTACTTCACCGATCACTGTGAGCAGCAGGAGCAGCTCTCTGCACAGCTTGTCCATTGTTTAGGCGGTGCCGCCACGCACAACCACAATGACCAGATGATCCTCCTTCAGGCCCTCTTCGGTGAGGCTGTGGCAGGTGCGCTTTAACAGATCCGTGGAGAAGTCGCACGGCGGGAATGCGTATAGCACGCCCGTGGCCTCTGTCTCCTTGTTTAGCAACGAGATGACGCCAGCCGCTTCCTTTTGCTTCAAGTAGGAGACGAGATTGCGTAACGGACGCGTCTGCACGCTGGCATCATCGCAATCGGTGTCCACCGTCGAGCCAGCCAGGCCCATGAATATGGCATGCGATGACGAGGATGCTATGCGCTTTTGTACATCTTCCAGCTTTGGTGGATCGAGGCGCAATCTCTGAGTTATGCGCAAATTGTGCTTGCCCTCCTCGTCGCGCATCAGCGACTCGACAATATCTGTATCGCCGTCTGTCAAATGAAATTTGGCCGGGAACAAGGAACTCTTCAGTATGAGTGCACCCGTCCAAATAGTGCTGCACTTGCGGGCCACCTCTGGGACTGTCGCCGCCGAGCCGAGTGCGTCATTGCGCCGCGTTGAAGTATCTGAATCTGAGCCAGGTGAGCGTGCACGCTTTAGTGGAGATCGGGAGCGCGAACGTTCAACACCAGGTTCCCGTGAACCGGAACGCGCCCGATCGTAAGACTCTCCAGGCGGACGACGCCATTCATCATCAGCACCACCCGGTGGCGGCACAGAAGACACGCCACCCAGGGCACTGGGATGCGGCGGTCTGTGTACATCGTTATGATAGTGATACATGCCGCGTCCACGGCCGCGATAGCCGCCACCACGTCCACGATAGCCACCACGAGGCAGATATGGTGAGTAACCACCACGTGGAGGATACACAGCCGCCTCCTCATAATAGGGATCATACTCCGGCCGTCTATACTCTATGGCGCTCTCGTCATACGACGGCTTTGAGGTCTTAAATGGTGCCACCGGGGTAGCACCAGGCAGCTCCGCGAAATCTGTACGTAGCCTACGCTCCGGTCCGCCTAGTGGAAAGCCGCGCATCTCCTTGACTGCCGCCGTTGCGGCCTCAACTGTTTCGTATTGTATATATGCGTAGGGTTCACCCTTCTGGTATTCGATCTTCTTGATGGCACCGAACCGATCAAATTCACGCTCGAGCTGTGTAACCGAAGTCCAGGCGCCAAGTCCGCCGATCCACATGCGTGTCGCCGGTGTAACCTTGCCGTAGCCAATCTTACACTGGAACTTGCCAATGTACTGGCCGGATAGCTCGATTTTGGCGCGATGAGCCATGTCAAGGTTCTGATAGCGCACAAAAGCAAACGCGTTGCCCGTGCCAGGAGGCGGCCTCTTTATATCAATGTCATCGACTACGCCATATTTTCCGAAAATACGGCGTAGCTCATCATCGGCAATAGTCACTTCCAGGTTGCCAGCAAAGAGCGTACGCGTGGAGAGTGGATCATCTTCTGGCTGCACATGGTGTAAATAATTGGGAAATTTATCCTTTTTGCTTTCTGGCTTCTCGTACGGCACGTGAGGCCGCGGGGCCATCGGACGCATCGGTGCATATTGATGTGGCGGTGGATGGCCATGTAGATGATGGGGATGGGCATGGGGATGACCACGATGCATTGGAGGGCCGCGGGGCGGGTGTGGATACTCATGGTGCATGGGTCGATATTCACGTGGGTGCACAGCATGCGGATGAATAGGCGGACCATAACGGTCATACGGATCAATTGGCGGCCGACGATGATCCAACGGAACGCCGGGTCCCATGGGCGAGCGCGAATAGTGATAACGTTCATAATCCGGTGGCGACATAGAGTGACGAGGTCTATAAATTCAACGCCCAAGCATAAATACCCAACCTCGAGATAAGTATTATAGTCGACTCTACATACCTGTATTCCGGCCGTGTCGTTGACTTATAAACAGGCTCCACAATTGCCATTTTATCATAGATTATCAGGCGAGGCTTGTGATGTTTGGCCTCGCGCGCATCCTCGGGCGTGCGAAAGCAAACATAGGCGACACGTTCGTCCAGATCGTGTGCAAGGCGCACACTGAAATCCCCAAATTTCTTGTACTCGCGATAGAGCGTTTCCTCAATGAACTCGTCCGGCGCTTTTGGCGGCAGCGCGCTCACACAGAGAACTTTGTAGCCGGCGGGACGCTCTGCAGCGGGTGGACCGCGCATGTAGGGCTCACGGTGCGGTGAACCATAGCGACCACGGGGGCTTGGCGAGCGGTCCAAACGTCGCCTCATGCGCTCCGGTGACATGCGCTCGGGAGAATCGCCCGGCACCCCACCGCCATTATCGTAGCCACGACCCATGCTGCGCGAGTTTCTTACTAAATTTCCTCTGCCTGGTGAGCGGGAAGCGCTACGTTTCATATTGTGGATTTTGACAGTTATTCGATCAAGTTCAGCTCCTTCTCTATGAATACTCATGAGCAGGAGCGGAAGCGGTTAATTGTGCCTTAGTCTTTTTCTTGTGACGAAGTCTGTGAATAAAGTTTATACACAATTATTTGTAAATTTGTAAGCAATAAATGTTGCGCTGTTATTTTTATGCATACATACAAGGAATTGCAGCTGCAAATATGCGTACTCATTAACATACGCTAAGTGAAATTAAAAGAAAAAGTGCACGCAATGAAAAGAAAATGGCGGCGAGACTGGCGTCGACGGGACAGGTAATATAATAAGTAAAGTTCAAGACAAATCTCATGCATTTACATAATTTAAACACACTCTTCGTGCTTACTCACTTACCACCAACTTTATGTACGTTTTTAATGTACTAAAGTTTTATTTTAGTTTCTTTTTATGCAGTGGCACTGAGAATTCCAACTTTCTGCGGTTCGCAATTTATGTATTCGACGAAAAAAAGTGTGGTGACAAGATGATGCAGCAAATATATCGATATTTCCAGATTATTCGCAATATCGATAGCCTTTATTTTTAAATAATTTTTGTTACGTTTAAATAACAATATTTATATATATTGAGATTATCTTGGGTCACAACTGCATAATATGGCAATATTTAATTCTTTTTTTTGTGATATTCTTTAATCTTTTTTATATATCGACGATACCACAAAATCAAGCTATTGTGAATTAAATATCTAATTCCGATGTATCGATGCAATTTGCAACTAAGTACAAATGCAAGCGGGCCGGGCCGGCAACATTTGCTACAGGTCATTAAATTGTAATAAACACTGCTAACACATATGTCGAAAATTCCGGATAAGGATTAGTCAAAACGGATCAAATGGTTAAATTGCTGCCACTAACAGCTGCATTTTAAAATGGCTGGCGTTTAAAATAAATTCCGAATCAAAGCTAACGGACAAGACGCATGTTGGAAAGCTAAGATATGTAGCTCATGAATTTTTGGAATTTATAGCTGAATACCAAGAGGCAGCTGCAGGTAGCTAAATAATTACCTGAAGTATTTAGCGCGCATTTATAGCGGCAATAAACTGCATTTACCAGCGAATTATTGTGCCCAACAGCTGTCTGCCTGGACAAACATAGATGTGTGTATGTATGTATGTATGTATGCATGTATATATGCATGTGTGTGCATGTGCCCATGTGTGTTATTAACCCGCACTCGCTCTTGTGCTCTTTATAGCTCTCGCTCACGCTGTTGTATATATATGTGGGCATATATGTACTAAACAGTTGACGATAACAAAACACAAGGTTCTCCCAAATGGAAATACATAGAATTTTGCATACGCTTAAATGGCAATTGCGCCTGCGTCTACTAGTCATTCCACTTTTAACAATGACTGCGTGTGGTGCTAATACTGAAAGCGTCTCGGACAACACTTGCGGCGTAGTGGGTGCGGGGAAAGATCAGGCACGTTACGATCACTACCGCATTTATAATGTCCAGTTTGATAACGAGGAGCAGATCGCACTGTTCCAGCAACTGGAGAAGGAGAGCGACAGCCTCACATTCATTGGCCACGCACGCGAAATCGGCCAAAAGCTATCCATATTGGTCGCTGCTCATCGCGTAGCGGACTTTGCGGATCTGCTGGAGACATACAAGCTGCAGCATCGTGTTTTGGTATGCGCTTTGATTTACTCACATAAGTGGTTCCATTATCTAATCTGTTATTTGCAGACGTATAATTTCCAGGAAAAAATTGATCGCAATATGCGTGAAGTTTTGCCGGAGCATATCGATGCATCCAAGTACGACTGGCAGCATTTCTTTCACCTAAAGACCATTTACGATTGGATGGATCGCATGGCTGCCAAATATCCGGATCAACTGAGCGTGCTGAACCTAGGCAGCAGCACGCAGGGAAACGACATTAAGGGCGTCAAAGTGGGCAATAATCCTGCAAATAAAGCTATTTTCATTGAGAGTGGTATTCATGCACGCGAGTGGATCGCTCCAGCCACAGCGACTTATATAATCAATGAGCTATTGAACTCGACGGATGAGCGTGTCCAGAAGCTGGCCAAGAACTACAATTGGTTTGTGTTTCCATGCGTTAATCCTGACGGCTACAAATACACATTTGAGCACGATCGCATGTGGCGCAAGAATCGCCAGTTGTTTGGCACCTGTCGTGGCGTGGACTTGAATAGAAACTATCCCGATCATTGGAACTCGACCGGTTCTAGCAGCGATCCCACGCGTTATGATTTTGCTGGGCCCAGCGCCGCCAGCGAACTGGAGACGCAGCGACTGATTGAGTTCATACGCGAAAATGTGGAGAAGGAACAAATCAAGACTTACATTGCCCTACACTCGTACTCACAGATGCTCATGTTTCCCTATGGCTACACCAAGGAGCACGTATCCAATTACGACGATCTGCAAGAATTTGGAAAGAAGGCATCGGCGGCCATCAAGGCTGAAAGTGGGCGGGACTACGTAAGCGGGAATCTGTACGAGACTATCTACCCTTCAAGCGGTGGCAGCATGGACTGGGCTCATGCCGAGGCCGGTATACCAATAGCATACACATTTGAGCTGCGCGGGCCACCCGACAGCCAGGACCTATTCATTCTGCCAGCTGTGGAGATACAGCCGACGGCCAGTGAAGCCTTTACAGCGATTCGTACAATTGTCGAGGCCGCAGCCGAAAAGGGATACTACAAGTGAATTTTCTCCTTGATAATGTTAAACTGATGATATTCTTAAAGAACTTGACGTATAACGATGTAGATTACTAAGTACATTTTGTTTTGACAAGCGATATAATCTTAAATAAACTCAAATGTTTTACTGTTTTGTGACTTTACAGAACTGAAAGATAAAAAATTCGTTTTGCTTGCATATGTATATATGTTTATATTAGATATCCATACCATGCGGCTTTTGCGGTTGATAAACGTTAAAGAAACGCGCCTATAGCCATAAGAATATATTTAACTAAATAAATATGAAAGAACAAAAATATTGAGATGACAACAAAAACTATTTTAAAAAGTCTGAGCTAACGGTGTTTTTTCGAGTATCCTTAAAAGTTCACGATAATAAATAAATATTTATCGGTGTTATCGTATTTGGGAAAGCTCGATTATTATTTTGTAAAATCGAAATTGGTTCTTTGGTATTTTTCTTATATTATAATCAGTGTATTTTTCACGTTGACCGCTCGCGGTCACACTGTACACATCCCTATAGGTCTCGGCAGAAACATATAGATTTTTTTTATTAAACACTCACTCAATTAAACAACAAAAAGACGCCGAAGTAGTTACGTTTTTTATTGCTGTAACGTAGAATAAGACGCATCTCTTTGTTTGCAACGTGTACGTGTAGGGTAAGCCCGAGCAAGCCAAAAGTGAAAGTCCCAGAAAAAGTACAAAAAGAGAGATAGAGTGACAGAGAGTGAGAGAGAAAGAGAGAGCGAGAACGGTGAAAAGAGTCAGAGTCTGGGTGAGAGAAAAACGATTTTTTCAGAGAACAACGCGGATTTTCGTATTTGCTGTGGACAGGGGAACGTGTGTGAATTGAGCAGAACCTGGTGAGTACATTTTCTGCCTGTTTGCAATTGGTATTTTTGTATTTTGTTGTATTTGCATTTTCAATTGAAGCCGAAAATAATTTGAAAGCAGAAGCAAAAGCGAAACGAAACTAAACTAAACTAAACGCAACGCAACGGCGCCAAGCGATAACAAATCGAGGCAAGCGAAAATAATAATAACAACTACAACCACAACTACAACATTAACAACAACAACAACAACAGCAACAGCAACAATAGAAAATAACGAGAACAGTCAGCGCGCTGCCGAAGACCGTCAAAATTCTCAGCCACAGCCAGCACACACCACCTTACAGCACCTGCACCCTATTAGCTGCCACCACGCTCCACAAACAGCCAGCCATAATGTTCGTCAATTCGATGACGTTCCGTGGAAATCCGGCGAACTATCATCAGCAGCAGCCGGCGCTTAATCATCATACGCTGGCCGCCGCCGCGGCCCATCATCAGCAGCAGCTGCATCATCATGCCGCGGCCACCGGCCATTTGAGCCATGGCGTTGGCGGCGGCCATGCGGCCAGCAATCATTTGGCCGCTGCAGCTGTGCTGGGACGACATGGTCATAACTCGCTCAATGCCGGGCACACCTCGAGCTCGTCCCATTCGAGCGGTGCACTGGCCAGTGGCAGCAGCGGCGGCAGCAGCAACAGCTCACCGGACAGCGGCAAGATTTACATCAAGAACTTGGAGCGCTCGATTGACAACAAGGCGGTGTACGAGACCTTCTCCGTGTTTGGCAACATACTCAACTGTAATGTGGCCAAAGATGAGGAGGGCAATTCGCGCGGCTACGGCTTTGTCCACTTCGATTCGGAGGAGGCCGCCCGTGCTGCCATCGAAAAGGTCAACGGAATGCTATGCAATAATCAGAAGGTGCATGTGGTTAAGTTTATACCGCGACGGGATCGTGAGCAGGAGAAGGCAACCCATTTCAAGAATCTGTACGTTAAAAATCTCAGCGAGGAGTTCACCGAGCAGCATTTGCGTGAAATGTTCGAGCCCTATGGCCGCATCACCAGTCACAAGGTGCGTATATTTATGTTTGTCTATTTTGCGAATATTTTAGCACAGGATGTGTAGGCCGGGGCGGGGCGGCGGAGCTGGTGGGGGTTGCCGTTACCGAGAGAGAGTGAGATATGGAAGGGGAGAGCTAGTTGCAGATAAACCATGTGGCACACTTTGCCATCTCTTAAGCCAACAGCAGGCATCTCAACGCTTTCCGCTCCCGGCTCTCCGCTCTCTTAGCCAACGCTCCGGCTCAATGCTGCGCATGCCCGCCCTAAAGAACCTGGTCGTGGTTGTGGCCCATGCGTTCCCAGCCAATGGCTGCCGCAATGGGCAGCAATTTGTTAAACATTTGATTTTAATTATTCAATGCACTTGCAGTTGATGCTGGATGAGGAGGGACGCTCGCGTCGTTTTGGATTTGTGGCATTCGAGAATCCGCAATCGGCAGTGGCCGCCGTCATTGGGCTGCACGGCAAGCAGCTGGGCGACAACAAGTTCTTGTATGTTGCACGGGCGCTCAGCAAAGCCGAGCGGCAGCAGGAGATCAATCGCAAGCTGGAGGAGCGCAAGCGTCAAAAGGCCGGCCAAATATTTTACTATTAAATTGCAAATATTTGGTGCACTTTCAACGGAAGGATCTATCGCCGTTGCGAGCGATGCTGAAGTAATAAAAAGTTTGTTTAGAGCCCCACATAACATACACTACACACACACACACCCACACACACATCTATAACTATATATATATATATATATATATATATATATATATACACATATATATGGATATTTACAGAAAATAATATTGTGCATCAAGCAAAAGATCCAAACACAGCAAGCACAGAAGAGACAACACACACACACCCACACACATTTAGGCGTAGGCAGCTCACACACACACACACCTCCCCCACACACACACACACACTTGAGTTCTGCAAAGGCAGAACTATCAGAAAAGAAAAATTTAAATCACACTTAAAAAGATTTCTAAATACTAGAGATTAATATGAAATCTTTTATAAACAAATTCGCTAGTTTTTCTTTAACTTCTTTTCGATTAGATGTTTGTCTCTTGTTGAATTTACCGAGCACAGAAGCTAAAAAAAAAAAAAATTAAAAAAAAAAAGATAAGAGCAGCTTCTAGCTTCAAGAACAGAGTGCGTACACGCATACTTCTAATACATAAATAATACTTACTAAATTAAAATGAAAAAAAAAAAAAACACGCAATTAGCAAGTGAAATCTAGGCGAGCGGCGAAAACAAATATATAGCTACCATGTCAAGTCATGGGCAAATAATGAATATTTACACATACTATATTAAACAACAAAAAAAAATTACAAATAATAAAAACAAGTACACACAATTGATGTAAAATTCTATAAACAATTAAAGCACCCACTTTACGTATATAAAGGCAACAAAAAAAAAAAAAACAAAGAAAAAAAAAACAAAAAAAAAATTATATATTACACGCTGTAGTTTAAAAGCGTTTATTATAATACTCACACACACACACACCCCCTTCCCCCACTCGAAACACAACCCCCCTTACTAATGCTAATTTAAAAAAAGAAAGAAAAAAAAAATAACGCAAAACAATTTGAGAAATCTTAAAAAAATTTGATAGCACGAGGGAAACTCTTGTGCGCAATTGCAGTTTACATGGAAAGAGTATTAAACATTTAACAATTACAAAACATTTTTGTAATTTATTGTAAATTGTTTCAAGTAGCTAACTTCAACATTTAACACCAGGCAACAGAACACGAACCATACTATAACGAATATAGTTTCAAATGCAAAAGCCTAAATAAATAAATGTGCAACGCAAATGCAATGTTTACAATTTTTTAGAAGAAACAAAACAAATATTCAAACACACATATATATTGCAAATAATTATGCAATGCAAAATAAGGGAAAGGCAAGCGTGTAAACATGCTCAGCACATTTATGATTAACCGGAAAATGGCAAATAATACATAAATAATTTAAGATTATTGAGCTTAATTTTTAAACATGTTTCAAAAAGCAAAAACAACTCCCCCAAATAATAACTAAACACACGAACAATTTGTATAGTTAAAAAAAAAAAAAGGCAACAGCAAAAAACAAAAAGCAAGAAGAGAAAAAAACAATTGAAATATCTAGTAATTAAATAAAAAGCGAAACCTAATTGAATACACATTTACAATAATTTATTATTTAACACATAATTTACGTTTTGCGTTTCGAGTTAAAAGCGCTGCTAACAAAATTTGTCAGCTAAGTAGAGCTAAAAATGAGAAATAAATAAAAATTATAATTTACAGGAAATTGATAGTATTAGAATGTACACACACACACACACACAGACACACACGCAATATGAATTTAGAGAAGAAAAAAAAAGTAAACAAATATGCAAAAATGTTTAATGCAAAATGTACAAAAAAAAAAAAAAAAAAATATGAAACTTTTCGTTTGCAAAGCAAATGCGACATATGTGTATTTTTATCATTAATTGTAATAAAACCGAAACTTAATTGCTTTTGCAGAATTTAAATTAAAAAGAAAAGAAAACAAAAATAAAAACAAAATCCGAAAAAATATTAATAGTATGAGAAAAACAAAAGCAAAACCTTGAAATATAACCTTTTATAGTACTAAATTTTTAGCCAGTACGAATTAAACAAAATGCAAAATTATACACGATACAATGCATATTTACAAGGCGAAACTCGAACAAAAAAAAAAAAATAAATAAGATGAAAAAACTAAAACCAAAATCCTTAAAAAATGAACAGAATTCAAAATTTATAATAAATACTCGATTTTGCACATTTTGCTAAATGAGAAATTAATAACATAAATAATACTTATGTACTTTTTTTTTTAATATATCATTTTTTTTGGGCAGCGACTCTCACGTTGAGTCCCCAAGCGACACACACACACACACACACCCTATACACACACACACAAATAGTGCAGGCATATATACATACATATATTTATATATGTGTAATTCCATTAAAAAACAAAAAAAAATCCTAATTATAAACATATAGAAGTGAAAAAAAAAGGAAAATACCTACTTATTAAAAACCAAGACGATATATAAAAATTAAAAATGATGAAAAATCAAGAATGAAAAAGTAAACGCAGTAAAATATGAGAAATTTGAATAAAAATGCTTTTGCAAAAAGTGTTTAAAATTGAGATGAAAATGTTTCATTTAATCAATTATTATTAATCTTGGGGAAAACAGAACAGAAATTTTTTAAAACGCAGCAAACCAAAAAAAAATAGGGCACGAACTCTTAGTAGAAAATAACACACACAACATTAACTAAAGTGCGTATAAAAATTATTCCTCGTCGATTATTTCTACATCGCTATTGGCCGATTTCAGTTCGTCGATTTCGTCATTCAAGTCTTCGATTTGTTCCTCGTATTTGCGCTTAAGCGAAGCAATCTATAAATTTATACAATAATTTTTACAGAATAGACCAAGAGCATAGTGGAGTAGCATTGACAAACCTTCGCCTCGAATTCACGATTGAGCATTTGAATCTTTTTTTCATGCCGCTCCTCGCACTGCTTCAGATTGGATTGTATGGTCTCCTGGAATGTGTCCGTTAGCTCCTTGCGCAATTTCTCCTCTTGCAGCTGCATCTTCAGCACATGATCGTAGATCAAGCGATCGTTCTCGGCACGCAGGCTAGCAATTGAATTATTGTCCCTTTCGTTAAATCCATGTCGAATAAATGTCATAATTTACTTTACCTAATATTCTGGGCTTCCAGTTCCTCTATGTATTGCTTATCTCGCGTCTCCGCTGACTGGCTGTACTCCACAAACGCCGAGTAGCGGGTATTGTGCTGCTTCACCAGCCTCTGTTTAAACAATATATTCTTGGCTATGGATGCAAAGCTTAGCACATTGAGATTCTCCTCGTAGTATTTATCCAGGGGCGTCACCGTCACAATCATGGCCAAACGCTCTTTGCCCAACAGAGCAGCTTGCAGAAGCATTGTTAGCTTTGAATCCCGATACGGTATAACATCCGTATTGTTCTTTTTCTTTAAAGAATTTGCCGCATCCAGGCAACGACCCAGCACCATCAGTGAGGTATTGATGCTTTGCGCTTCCCTGAGACGTGAACCGATCGTGCCCGTTTTGTCCACACGCTCAGAGCCAGCCAGATCGCAGAATTTATACGAGTTCTGTGTGGTCATGCCCGATCGATGGTACTTCAATACATCCACAGTGAAGACGCAGTGAGAACGACTAGAGTTGGAATTTACGGCCGTTGAAGCATACGTTAGCCGTTGCTGTCCCAGTCGCAGCAATTTTAAGGCTTCATCGCTGCTTTTCACAAATATGCTGGTCAAGCCCTTGATGAAGACTTGACCCTGGTTACAGACGATCTTTAGGTTTTTCCGGCGTGGTTCGCACATATTCGCCTGCCGCGGCGGCACGGTCAACAAATCATAAACAAGCTCATTGTAAATCTCAACAAATGACACCCAAATCATGACGGAGACTTCCTCCGCGGGCTTCTCCTCGAACTCATGATCGCCTCGGATGATTTGTTGCAGGCGCTGGTGTTGTGCTGTCATATCTGGACACAGTGCGAGCAATTGGCGACGTATTTGCATTTCCTTGATAGTAGCATCGTCCTCCAAGATTATCATGCGTGCATTGATCAGCTTAAGCTTGGGCGTGGTATACAACTGCTTATTATACATGGTGAATATGTTTTCCAGGGCGCGCGGTATAACGCCGGCCCTAACATTATCACCTAGAGTAGCAAACTGCATGAACGTGGATTCAGAGTTAAGTTTTTTTTTTCGATTACGTACCAAGCAGCGTGTAGGTTTTGCCTGAACCGGATGTTCCGTAAGCCATGATCGTAACACATTCCTCCTCCGAAATGCGTGGGCCCACACATTTGTCATATACATCCCGCTGACCAACGAGACTGTCAAATATGTTGGTGAAGCTGTAGTGCTTCTCCATGCGATTCACATTGTTGCTGCTGTTCTCGGTCACGGCGGCACTGGTGATCAACACATTGCCACAGTCGGAAATGCCATATAGTTTGGAGGGAGATTCCACTGGACGCAGACGTAAGAACACCTGTGGTCCCGTCTCCAGCTCACTGTTGTCTGTCGAACTGCCATCTTCTTCGCCGTTTTTCGTGTAGTCCGATTCCGTATCCGAGCAGTCTGTGGAGCTGTCGCTTGTTTCGGGGATCGCCTCGTCGAATAAGCGTAGCTGTTTGTTGGGGCGAGGTCGAAAACGGCGATCAATACTGGGATCGCGTGGCATTAAAAAGGAGCGCATCTCGCGCTTATTCCCCACATCCCTTTCCATTATTTCGCAACGGTACCAACGGCTGGTATATTTTAATGTTTTTAATTAATTTGTTTGTAGTTTTTGGCGGTTCGACTTAAAGACGCTTTGTTTCGTGCTGCCAACTTTTTTGAACTTGTTTTCGCTTTGCTAACTATCTCGAAGCTAGAGCTGGTCGGACATACGATAACATCACATTTTTCACTACAGCAAGTGGCATTCCTATCGATAGCACGACATGCTGACAAAACTATCGATTGATTGCACCAAGGTGGCAACATTTGCACAAGTGTGCAAAACAAAAACATTAATAAAGGCGGGAGCTCTTGTTTTCATAAGTTTCTGATATGAGTAAAAAGGGAACGCGCTCCACAAAACCCAAGGCGGATCCAGATGCGGTGCCACAAAAAGCGTGTGCCATAAAGAAAGTATTCTATATATCGGAAAAGTTGCTCGATGCTGAAGGCGACCATCGATTGCGCTTGGAGCGCTTCTATCATCCCGGTAAGGCGCGACCGGCTTTGTTTGTAACGCTTCAGGAGCGGGAGATAATGGAGGTGCTAGAGTACGCAGAACCGCGACGCAGCTGGCTTATAAACAGTGAAGTGAGCTCAAACGGACGCACATACATGACGACGCCAATAGATGCCACACTACTAGCACTTCATCATCTACGCAAGCATTGCTCCCAGCGCGCAATGTCGCTGGACAGCATATGTGTGGATGAGCCGGATGCCAGTACAAATCGTCTGCTTACCAACTTCGTGAGCAGCGACGGCTTGAAGTGTGTGGCCGATGTGAAGACCTCCGGCGATCTGATCTTCTACAAGTACAATAATCAGCGGGTGCTGGCATGGCTTGCCTTGAAGACACGACAAGTTGTGTCCGTGCTCAAGGCGAAACGGGTGCACTGTGGATTGGGTGCCAAATCGCAAAACTACGTGCGCAGTGAAAAGTTGGTAGAAGAAAACGATGTCAACGAAATTGACTACATGCGCATGGCCTGCGATTATGTGGGAAGATATTTAGATGCGGACTTACATGCGGAACTCACAAACTATCTGCACATACCAAGTGAGATTCAGGCACTAGTCGAAGAAAATGCCACGTCCCAGAAACGGAAATCCCAGCAAGGACAAACCAGTGCAAATAGCAAAAAAATTAAGCTCGCCAATGGCGATGATGCTGCTGCACAGCTGCGGAACAGCAGCCTGATCGACAGCGATGACATAAAGGAGAGCATCACGTCGCCCAGCACACCTGCACCGCTTAAGGAGCGCACCATGACGGCCAAGGAGAAGGCGCTGGCCAAAGGCGCCAAGGGCAGCAAGAGCATTGCATCGTTTTTCAAAGTCAAATAGTCTTAAGCATATAATAAGTTGCATTTTTTAGAAGCATTGTTCACAATATCAACTCATTTTATTTATATAAACGATGAACAACAATGATTGAAGTTCACTGACTTCTCTGTTTATGTCGCAGCGCACGCACATCTTCAGATTGGGCGCATAACTTCTTGTCAAAAGGCTTGTTTAATGTTTTTATTAACATGTCTGGCCTGGTACTACCAACAGGTTGTATAAATATGACGCCCCAACTGTCGCAGGCAACAAAATAATTACATGTTTGCATAGCACGGCATTTCTTATATGATTGATGTCTCATAACTGGCTAGATTTAAATGACTGCATACTAAATACCCTGTAATATGCATTGTAATGTATGTTACAGACAGATCTGCTAAGCAGATAAGCTTAAATTATTTTATATACCATTGTATAACTATGGCCCACTGTATTTATTGTGCTTTTTTATCCATAAACGCATGTTTTTATATATTTTAAATGATTGTTTACATGCAAGGCTCTAATCGAATAGCAATATGCACGTTAAGTGTTGCCCTCCCGCTGTTTGAAATTCAGTTAGAAGGCGCTCAAAATGCAGCCCTGGCTTCTGAAAATTTGCAACAGCCTGCCGCTTGGGCCTGTCTGTCATTGCCCAGTTTCTAAGGCCGTAAACTCGAATTGTACTAAAAATTTTGTATTCCAATTGTGGACCAATATTGACTGCGCAATGTCAACGCCTGACGATATATTGACCATGGAGCTGGTCTATGCAGATCCTGCGGAACTGCCGAACACATTGTTCGGAGGCGGCGACATGGCTGCCAGCAGTGTGGAGCAACTTTTCAAGATGCCGCTGCCATTTAAGGAAGCCAACAGCGAGGATAAACCCATAGTAAATAATAAGATCGAGGCCGTGTCGCCTGGCTATGAGCTCAAGTACACGCTGGAGGGTCACCAGCGGCACATAACCGCCGTGCGATTTGCTCCTGGCGGCGACTGGCTGACCAGTGCATCGGCAGATAGTTTACTCAAGCTGTGGGACTTGGGCACGGCTCAGCTGAACAAAACACTGGCTGGACATGTACTGGGCATAAACGATGTGGCCTGGGCGCCGGATGGCAAATTCATGGCCAGCTGCAGCGATGATAAGACCATAAGGCTCTGGGATCCGCACGGCGGCCTGTGCCTGCGGACAATGGAGGGGCATGCTGGCTATGTGTTTGCCTGCAGCATTAATCCGCAAGCGAATCTAATAGCGTCCACCAGTTTTGACTGCACCGTGCGGCTGTGGGATGTGCGCAACGGCAAGTCCCTAAAAATTATACCCGCCCACATGGATCCAATTTCGTCCGTGGACTTCAATCGTGATGGCACACTCTTTGTCACCGGCAGCTTTGATGGCCTTGTGCGCATTTGGGACACGATCAGCGGGCAGGTGCTGAAGACGCTTATCGATGAGGATAATTCACCGGTGGGCTATGTAAAGTTTGCGCCAAATGGCAGATATATACTCGCCGCCTATTTGAACAGCCAGATAAAACTGTGGAACTTTCAGAAGCCAAAATGTTTGCGCATCTACAGAGGCCACACGAATCTCAAGTATTGCATTGCCGTCAAATTTTCCGTTACAGCGGGCATGTGGATCGTGTCGGGCAGCGAGGACAGTTGCCTCTATATATGGAGTCTGCAGAGCAAGGAGCTTGTACAAAAACTAAATGCACATGCGCACGAGATCATCTGCACGGATTGTCATCCCAAATTGAATCTGATCGCAACGGGCGCACTGCAGAACACCGAGAACCTCCGGATCTGGCAGAGCAGCGAGACCGTAATCGAATTAAATAAATAATTAACCTGTATTTAATTAGCATTTAATTGCATTTGTCTCTAAGCCAACTTTGTATTGGTATTCTTATCGCTGAAGTCGTAACAATTGTAGTAATACAAGATAACATGATAATCAGAATCGCAAATCATGTATGGCACAACACACACGCACACTTCTGTGTGTACGGGTGTGTGTGTGTGTGTGTGTGTGCACTCAGTCTGGGCCCAGTCGGTCCGCCAAGCGATTGGAGCGTCACTCAAGTCTTGAGCGTCGCACTGAGCGAACGCTCGCCTCATTATTGTAATTTAACGCGGAAGTCAACGCGGAACGCGATACTTAAACGAAGTATCAAAATAAAATAACAAAACTAACAAACAATATATATATAAATATAATAAATAAAAAAACAATTGAGTAAAAAAAAAACTAGAAGAATCGTTGAGCTAGCAAAGTTATGAGAGCCAATGACAACAATGAAGGTGAGTTTGCGTTCGTATTGCATTTGGTTTGTGGACAGCTGGCGGGGAGGGAGATGGAAATCCCCCTCTGGGTTTTCCCATGCCGGTTAGAAAGCGAATGGCATTCAATTTAAGATCTCTTCATTTTAAATTGAATAACAAAAGCCGATATTCAATTGATCGATGCGAACAAATTTCAATTTCCAAATATTCAAGCTCTGGAGCTTTATTTTTAAAGCTCAAATATTATTAAATGCAGCAGAAATTTGTTTCTGGCGCGAGCCAAACCTTAAATCCCAGCATATATATTATACATATATAATTTTATATATCGGTTATTGGAGTTATTGCTTGGCATTTGTGGATTGTCCCGGGATAACATAAGATAATTGTTTGTAATTTATAATAATAATAATAAACCCACTTTCGAATGCGACTATTAATGATTTCACTGGTTCATTCAGCACACATGTTTACGAGATAAGTCTGTACGTGCCTTATAAAACAAACAAGTTCATATAAAAGCGAGCTTATCTCTGGGTTATTCGTGGCCCCCCAATAATATGTTGTCCGAGTCCGTTGCTACTAGGCGGCATATTCGAATCGGTTCGGATTTATGATTTGATTTCAAAACAGACCCAACGCCAATGCACGTCGCAGCGTCATAAATATGTTATTAGCTCTAATGGATTTGTGATTCCGGGTCGGGGGGTACTTGCAGAGAATCTTTACCGGGAGCAGTTGCCCGATGTGGGCACGCTTATCAGAGAGAGTGGACGAAAGTTTTGTCGCCCTGCGACAATCACCAACAAATTTCCGATACTAAGCTGGCTGCCGCGCTATCGCTCCGGGTATGTGGTGCAGGATTTTATAGCCGGCTTTACGGTCGGACTCACAACCATACCGCAGGCCATTGCGTATGGAGTTGTGGCCGGACTGGAGCCACAATATGGCCTCTATTCGGCCTTTATGGGCTGTTTTACGTACATTGTGTTCGGCTCCTGCAAGGACGTGACCATTGGTAAGTCGGCACATCTAGATCTTTAATCGACTTCTAATTGGCTTCGCGTACACAGCCACAACTGCGATCATGGCGCTGATGGTCAACCAATATGCGACCATTAGTCCGGATTATGCGGTGCTCGTCTGTTTCCTGGCCGGCTCCATCATTCTGCTCCTTGGTCTGCTCAATATGGGCGTGCTGGTGCGCTTCATATCGATTCCGGTCATAACTGGCTTTACGATGGCAGCGGCCACAACAATTGGAAGTGCTCAGATCAATAATCTCGCTGGCCTCAAGGGTAAGTTCGAAAATTTTTCCATTTCTTATCGCCTATCAGCAGGGGTTTCTCCAATGCAAGCAATTTTTATAATCATAATTACGGTTATAAATTTGCATAGGTATCAAGGAACATGTCCTTTGATATCATAGATTATTTGGGTTCACTTTATAAAATGATATACATTCATTATTTTTGGTTTTATTTATTATTATTTATGTAATAATGATTGAATCATTTTGTTTATTATTATTATTATTATTATTATTAAATATTATTGGCTTTTGGCCCGGACACTACGTGCATAGATTAGCCTGGGACTTGAAGTTTCTCCTCGTTCAGTTGTCTGATTTATTGTGTCAGATATTTTCCGAGGATTGATTTATAATCGTCGACTTGCTCCCAACAATAGAATCTGGTTATTATATTTAGTAGTATCGTCTGATAAACCTTAAAATATCCGGGTAGAGAGATAAGAACTGTGGAGCAGGTCGCTTTTTAGGGACCGGATCAGGGAATTGGAACGGGAACTGTCTTATGAGGTCTTCTTATCTCTCTCAAGTGAATTATGTTTGTTTCAGTTATTTCCTTTCGCCCTTAACAGAGGATAGAAGTCTCATTTACCCAAAATTAATGAACAAATAGAGATTGTAGCGCTAATTGCATAATAGTCTGGCTAAGGGTCTTAAAATATCGTGAGGAGACTTTAAAGATATTTTGCCTAAGTCAAGGTAGAAAGTCAGCCTGAGATCTCGACTATATAGCATAGAAACTTTTGGATTGAAGGAATGGAAGTTTAGCTTCCGTATAATATGATATAGCCCAGTTAAATGTTCTTCAGACATCCTGGTAATCCAAGATCGTTTACTTCATAGGTCCTTCGAACGATTTGTTGCCCTCGTGGCAGCATTTCTTTATGAATCTGACTTCGATACGGATCTGGGACGCCTTGCTGGGTGTTCTGACTTTGGTCTTTCTGCTGCTCATGAAGGTAAGCCTTGTCCTAGTAAGTATTCCTATGATGAACCTAGTAAACATATTTTTTGCAGCAATTGACAAAGATCAAATGGGGCCACAGGCTGGTCTGGAAGTATCTCTCGCTGTCGCGCAATGCATTGGCCGTCATATTCGGGACATTCCTCGCCTATATACTCAGTCGAGATGGCAATCAGCCATTCCGTGTGACGGGCAACATAACCGCGGGCCTGCCACCCTTCCGCTTGCCACCCTTCAGCACAGTCGTCGATGGGGAGTACGTGTCCTTTGGCGACATGATAGGCACTGTGGGCGCTTCCTTGGCGTCCATTCCAATGATTGCCATACTCGAGATCGTGGCCATATCCAAGGCATTCTGTAAGTGATTTCAGCTTCAGCGGATTCCAGCTCAGCTTAACTCTATGCCTTGCTTCTAGCCAAGGGCAAAATTGTGGATGCCTCGCAGGAAATGATCGCCCTGGGCATGTGCAATATTATGGGTAGCTTTGTGCTCTCCATGCCGGTGACTGGTTCGTTTACGCGCACGGCCGTCAACAATGCGAGCGGTGTGAGAACACCCCTAGGAGGAGCCGTAACTGGAGCGCTCGTGCTGATGGCCCTGGCCTTTCTCACGCAAACCTTCTACTATATACCCAAATCGACGCTGGCAGCTCTCATAATAGCAGCTATGATATCTCTAGTCGAGCTGGAGAGAATCTCCGATATGTGGAAAGCAAAGAGTGAGAGCAAGAGAAAAAAGAGCTGCATATGCATATGTCAAATGATTTAATATCTTCAATAGAACGCGATCTCTTTCCCTTCGTGGTGACAATTGTGACCTGCTTGTTCTGGAGCCTGGAATACGGCATAGTCTGTGGCATTGTGGCCAATCTCATCTATATACTTTATAGCAGCGCTCGACCGCAGGTTCTCATTACGCTTGAGAAGGTGAGAAAACTCTTCCGAGTACATTCTCAATTAATATACATTTAATTTATTTACTTTGCTCCCCTTAGATCAATGGCTATGAAGTTGCACTGGTCGATGTCAAGCAGAAGCTGGACTATGCCTCTGCGGAGTATCTGAAGGAAAAGGTTGTGGCTTATCTGAATCAGCAGGACTGCAAAATACTTTTAGTTGTGATCAAGGGCCAGGAGATTAATTCCATTGATTATACAGTGGCTATGGTAGGCATGAAGAGACCTATTTAGTCTTAAACTAAACCCTTAACCATGCTCTGTAGAACATAATATCGCTACAAGGCGATATTAAGGCTCTGAACTGTGATCTGATCTGTTGGAACTGGAATATTGGTTCCGCTGGCGTCGTCTGCCGGCTCAAGAGTGACATGCGTTCCATATTCAAATTTGATTACGAGCTGGAAGAGCTGGTCGCTTCCCACTTCGATCCATCCAACACGGCATCGACTGTAACCATTGACACCTCACAAAGCCAAGTCAATGCGGCCTAGAGCGTAGCTTAGCCCAACTATTTAAGCTTACAGTATTTTATATTCATTAATAAACAAGTAAGAGGTTCTAGTCGGAACCCTCTTCTTCCAACATCAAATGCATATATATATTCTATTTTAGAAGCTATATGGCAAGTTTGGGGACTCTAGCTCTCATTATTTACCAAAATTGCCCAAAAACAGGATATCGATACCGATTTCTTATCGATTGCTTGGAAACGGAGTAAGTTATCGATTATCGGAAACAAACTCGATCTGCGCAGGCACTAGGAGCACATCTATAGGTTCTGAGATCCTTGCGTTCATACATACGGACGGACGGACAGACAGACGGACATGGCTAGATCGACTCGGCTATTGATGCTGATCAAGAATATATATACTTTATGGGGTCGGAGATGCTTCCTTCTGCCTGTTACATACATTTGGATTTTGCACAAATACAATATACCCTTATACCCATATTTAATGGGTTCAGGGTATAAAAACAGTGTTCTTACAAAGCCGTCTAATAGTAGTTAAGATCTTTTGGAATATTTGCCTTTACATCAGAACTGAGTCAATGGGCTGGAGTTGAACGGAAGGCGAAAGGGTTAGAGAAAGATTTGAAGGCAAAGTTTCTGGAGGAGCTACATCAACTCGAATATCGTTCTCTCTATTTAAGCTCTTTTCTCTCTATTTAAGCAGCCAAGGCATAAAAGTGAGCACTAACTCCTTCCCATTCCATACATTTCCATCCCAGACTCTGAAGGCACGGCGACAGCCTGTCTGCTGGATTCTCGCCTCATATTGTATTACGAGAAGTTTGGAAAATGCTTCGAAGAACCTCACCCATTATGTCATAATAGTTGCTCAACAAAATTAATTGAACTGTTAACCGCAGACAGTCAGGCAGACAGCCTGTGGCTCCTTTCTCCGAACTATTGAGCCGAATGCAGCACAATTTATGGCTTTCTCCAGGCACTTGAAGCGGTCTGCACCCGCTCAGAGCCAGAGAGAGAATGAGAGAGAGAGGCAAAGAAGGAGAGAGAGAGGGATCTACCTTTCACCGGTTGGGCAAGAAATATCAATTTTCTAGGAAGAGTTCAGCCGAGTTTTAATTACGGCCTTTGGTGGTATCCAATTCATAGTAGCCCGTTTTGACTGGACTGTCTCCTATATATATGTATTGTATCCTTGGGACACTTGCAAATGTGTGAGGTTTTCATAGCTCCTTTTTGAACCTTTTTGTAATCGGCACCAATCTCTGTTTTCCACCCGTGGTCTGTAGGTCACCTTGGCGGATGACCCCATCTCATTTGGCAGTCTGCTGGGTCTTCCAGCTGCACACACTCCTCGTGTTGCGCCACAGCCTAACATCCGCCTACGCCAGCTCCAAATCCACACTTCCGCTATTTATCCTGGCGCTGTGTGCGCTATTACTTGGGCCATAATTGTGGTGACGCTTTCAAAGTCACATTAAGAGGTTCGACTAGGTAATCTCTATATAAACGACTGTATTGATTGGTGTTTTATTGTCAATTTGGAGCTTAGGTGTTAAATTATGAATAAAAGATTTCCACAAAATGTGCAAAAACAGACACATGTCTCAGCCGAACCTGTCTCAGTAATATCCTGAAGATTGTATAAATATAATTCACGGAACAGAAGTATTGGATGAAAGAATTATCCAACTGAACCACGAGGTAACGAGTTATTGCATTAAATACAGTTAACGATAAGTTACGGACATTTTCGACACGCCTACGTTTTAAAATCCTTTGCCTGTTTTACAGATATGTGAGAAAAATGTGAAGCACGATATTCATGGGCAACAAAACAGTTTCCCATCTAAAAACTCATTTTTATAGACCCATTCTTCCACAAGAGCTCTATAATATCTTGATAGGATATATATCAGATATATTATTATATCTCTATATAAGTATAACACTGTTTGTTCTGACTGATTGACTGATTGATTGGTGATCAAAGCACAGCCCAAACCATGCACTTTACACACACTAGTCTGGGATCGGGTTTTTACCAGTTTCCAGAAAAGAGCAGCTTTCTCCAAGTGTAAATAATATTTTGAAATAATAATAATAATAAAAATGTAAATTGCTTTAAACTTTCAAGTGGATTACGATGATATTGATTTCTAATAATAAGAATGGCGCGTGTGCTGTCGGGGTCGTGTCCGGATCAAGCGCCCGACTGATTCCTGTGGATTACACGACGATATCGAATTTGGGCTCCAGGTGGTTACAGCTGGTTCCTAGCACGCTTTGCGCGCACTTCTGGCATCCTTAAAATTTTCTTTAGGATCTTGTGTATGCACAGCAAATATAATACATGCCCGATAAATATACAAATTGATTCATTTTTGGTTAGCGTAAACAAGGAAACGGCAGCAGCCACCAGCTGGACCAATCTCATGGCGGCCCCGGGGCCCAGAGATAATACGGATCGCACCATGTGTTGCCGCTTCCACCAATTGTAGCTGCCTCAACGGACTATTACGGAGCGGGGGCACGCCTACAAGTGCCAAAAATAGGCAACATTGCGAGAGCAAAAGACGGCGACAGAGATCGCCGAGGGAGAGAGAGAGAGAGAGAGGGAGAGTGAGAGGAGTGTGTGTAAAAAGGAAGATTTTTCGAGCAGAATATTCAGATGTGTTTCAAATGTGCTGCGACACGGTCATAGACGGTTCGATCTTTACAAAATCAGAACTTTAACGAATTCCAAAAAATAAATTATATTTAAAATAGTGTTAGAGGTATTTCCTCACGAAATTGTGCAAGTGCTTTAAGAATTAGTTTATAGAAAATATATAAAAAGCTTGCCCAATGCCACGCAAAAAGCGCGCCTCCAGCCCCCTAGATCTGTACGACGATGACTTCGACGAGGATGCCAGCTCACACAGTAAGCACCAGTGGGCCATACCCTAGCCAAACCTTGCTCCCATGGCTAATCCACAACAACAACAAAATCTATTAGGTTCCCAGCCGCCGGTGCAACGGAATGCGGCAAATGCCAGGGAGCGAATGCGCATGCGAGTGCTATCCAGCGCCTATGGACGTCTGAAGACCAAATTGCCCAACATTCCACCGGACACAAAGCTATCCAAGCTGGACACACTGCGCCTGGCCACGCTCTACATCAAGCAGCTAATCAATGCCGTCGAGACGGGCAACGGCACAGCCAATGCCAATCCAACGCAATCCGGCGCCGCTCTAGCTGCTGCGCTGGACACACGGAGTCTAGCGACGGATTGCGGCAACGATGCTGCAGCAGCGACGACAACTTTCAATTTCCACAATGCTGGACAACTCGGCATGGTAAGTGTCAACAGCAGAAACTCTGTCGAGCCAACGCTCGACCTGTGCCTGTGTCTATGGTGCGTATAAGTGATGTCAGTGGCACCACTTAGCGTTGCAGCAAAAGTGAATGGGATATATACCCTATATATATGCATACATATATACAACATATATGGAACATCTATAGCTGCTCGTGCTTGCAGCTGGACTGCGTCAAGTCGTGACAGGTGTCAGCTCAGCTATGATAGGCGGCGTTGATAGGCTCAAGCTCGTCCAGTTTTTTGTCAGACGTGCGACAGATCGCAATTAACCCAATTAAAATTTTATAAAATACAAAAAAATATCTATAGATCATGTTTTAGTAGTGCCCGCTTAGCATAAATTCTTCTTTTATCCAGCCATCAAGCTATTCCTCAGAAGTTAAAAGGTTTCATCTTTTAAATCTTTGACATTTACTTTCGTTGATATAAAATATTCTCTAACATGTCAGACGTGCGACAGATCGCAATCAACCCTATTAAAATATCATTAAATACAAAAATATCTATATTTTTCTTTCACCCGACAAACAAGCTGTTTCATAGCCCATTCTCTAGTTATTCCTTGCCGAATCTTCGGACATAACTTTTAATTAGTTTTCGTTAATATACAACATTCTTCAGTTAATCAAAATTCGGGTTTACAATAATTATAAGAGTCTACTTTCTGCTCTTTAGTTAGCAAACCTAGATAAAAACCATCAAAATCTAATATTTTCAAATAGTATGTTGGGCAACATCTGCTCAAGTGCTTTATACCTTCCAAAGGTGTAGGCCCCCGTCCGCCCAATTTTGAGTACAACAGCAACAACAAACAGCAGAAAAAAAAATCACATTTTGTGATTTCAGTTTGTGTCTGGCTTTCCTGTAATCAGATACTTTTGTGAATTTCAAAAATACTAAATATGAGTGACAGACTCACACGGAGACATCTCCGTTCGTCGCGTCGAGCCGTCGGGCTAGGAACATTGGTTATTCCTCGCAAGTATTTCTTCTTGTTATTTTTAAAAAGATGCACGACTTTGAAGCGACCAAAGTGAATGACATGCAAGGGAAAATTGTCGCTGCTGACTCTTCGCTAGATATTAAGTGGTATTTAATAAAAAACAAGTCCAAATTCTCTAATCTGAAGCGTTCGACTGGCAGATATCCTCTACCCGTTTGGACAATACTCACAGAGGTTGGGAATTTTATCTTTGGCTAAAATAAAATAAGTTAAAGAAAATCGAACATATATATATAACTTGTCTTCCCCCAATATCGGGATCTATGCCCACTAGACGATCTATTTTCTCAACTTTAAGGAGGAAAGCAACGATGTAAATTTGGAAAGGTCTAATCAAAATTCTGTAAAAAAAAACTACGTTTGATCTACAAAAACCTATTTTATTTCTAATTTTTGAGTCTCTAGTTAAAAGGGTTAAAAGGGATTCATTCATTTTATGTCTCTTTTTATATAATGCCACCTTTTTTTATTCCTTTTTTATAAGACATTAAAACTATCCGTATTATAATTGGGTATTTCTCTACGATCTGCCTGCACCGAGGATTTACCCAAAGAAAAAACAGAAGAAAAGTTTCACAAATACTCTAGCAATCCGTTTATAGGCAATTTGTTTATTCATTCACTGAAGTTGAATGCGTGAAAATGTTCAGCAAATATTGTGCTTCGACGGCGTCTTGTGCCCATATGTTGGCCGTGTTTTGTTTGCATTTGTCAGGACCATATCGCGGCTTCCTAAACAGCCGCACGGCGGCACCCTAATTTATCTCGGTCGCACGCGCCGCCTACAGACTTGAGGGCTGGGTGGGAACAGAGAGTTAGAGAGAGAGAGAGAGAGAGAGAGAGAGAGAGTGCAATCCATTACCCATTGGTTAGCCGGGGCTGCCCATGAGTGTCTCTTGTCTTTGGCCTGTTTATATGTTTTTATAGATACGTTAATGACGCTGTTATTGTTCAACTATGAAAACATTTCCCAAAGAGCCACTAAAAACAATCAAAATTGTATAAACAAACAAAGGAGCTGTCGCTGTCGGCTTGTCGTCATATTGTTGCATTTACAGCTGTGCGGTTAGCCCTAATCAGAGCATTGCCTTGCAACAACTCTATCTATCAAGATGGGGCTTTCATCAGCATCAGGTTTTGATCGACTATTATATATCATATTCGCTTATTAATTTCACAGAGCTGGCCCTTTGAGTTTCATCAACATTTGCAACACGGCCACAATCGCAACAGCAATTCCAACCTGACATTCAACTCGGCGCGCATGGATTGGCAAAGTTCTCAAACGCAATCCTATCCGAAGACGCCAAGACATGAGCCTCACATGGCAACCGATGTTAGCTATACACAGCTGCAGGATGCACATTGGTATCCAACGGATATGGGCTTGCAATTGGAGCAGACACGTAGTGGCAATGGCTGTTGTGCCTATGAATCGGCTGGCCTGGGACAGCATCAGCGTGGCATTACAATATCAACTAGTCAGGCGCATAGCCTCTAGTGAGGTGCATATCTTGCATTTACTTTAACTTACGCTCTAACTGAAATCGTATTAAAAACGTGATTTTAATCGTCATTCGTCATTGTATTGCATTGTATGTTATGTAATTTACTAAGCCAAAGACTAGTATTATGTTTAACTTTAACAATATTACCTAGCCAATAAACATAAGCAAGAGAAACGTAACAGAAAAACGTAAGCATTTTGTATTCAAATTTAACAGCCAACTATCTGGCAACTCTCTTCGCGCAATTCACCATCACGCAGCCCTGGCGCACAGCTGCTTGCACACAAACAAAGAGCCCAACAACAACAACAACGACAGAAGTATCAACAATAGATTAGCGTATGCGCTCATATGGCGCAACAACAAAAGATTGATTGAAGGCAATTATCACAAATAATCCCACTAGAAGCTGGGTACAAGTGTATTTCAATTCCCAACCACACGATTAAAGTTCACTGTGCTTAGCAGATAAGATTTGCACAAGCATACATATGCATTAACGGCGCTCAAAGCAAGTACAACACATACAGTTGTTTTTCCATGTTAAATTTAGTTAGTATTCGCTCGTCGTAGCAGACGCACGTGAAAGTTTTCTTTGTGTTAAAGAAAAAAAAAACTCGACTGTGTGCCCGTTTTTGGAACAATTTAAGCAAAATGCCAGCACTGGAAGTAAATCCTGATTTGCAAAAGGAGCGCAACACAGCGACCTTTGATCCAAAAGAGTTTTCAATCTTTTGGGCCGGTGGCGCAGACAAATACAAAGAGAAGAAGGCCTTGGGTAAGTCGACTCTCCAATTCGTGTACTCAGCAATTTTTACTCGTTTAATAAAATTAACTGGTTTTTAAGCTAGACTTTGAGAGCTACACTCTCAAGCGTACTCAATCGCATTTCGCAATTGGCAGCAATTAATTGCAGCAGTAGCATGACGCGGCAAATACCTTTATAAGATAGGCAAGCTACACTTATGCAAATGTAAAATGTCCAAAAACATTTCAACTTTTGAACTGTGCTCAATATAAATAACTGTGCTTGATACATTCTTCATGTCTGGCAAGCCTTGACAATGTGTAAGTTTTCTGGCAACCCATGGCCGGGCCTCTCGGCGTCTTTGTTTTGATTTGTATCTTCCATAGTTTCCCATTCATTAGTTCGCGACGGTATTTAGCCGCACAACTAATGCAAATTTTACGCATTAATCGTTAGCTCATGTCAAATGCGACATTTTATGATCGTAGCTTACAAATTTATAAATGATGAACTTTGTACAAGTAACAGCATCTCTCTCGAACAACTGGTTATGAACTGTAGACTTTGATTGCACTATTTAAGTCACATATTTCCCATAGCTTAGCAGCACTTGAAAATGTTATAAATTTTCGGTATGGGGTCGATAAGCTTTATCTAGTCGATTTGGCTTAATCGCTTGAATTAATAATAGTAGCACAGTAGTCCGGCATGATTGATAGATAGATAGTGGGAAAATGCGCCTACGTGTCATGCACTTTACATATCTGTTGTTGCAATTGCAGAGAAAATGTTTCTGGAGGATCCAGAAATGAAGGATGATCTTCCTACGTCATATTTGTCCCACAAGGAGCTGTACGAGAACAGCCTACGCAAAGCCTGCCTCATTGGCGAAAAGATACGCAAACTGCGCGCTGATGGCGAGGATGGCGTCGACACATACAAGTAAGGATTGCAATTAGTCCGGACTGCATTTAACTAACATTTTATTCCCTTGTGACAGTGCTCTGTTGGGCGGCTCATTGGGCGCGGCTATACTTAAGGAGGGCAATCCCATTTCGCTGCACTACATCATGTTTGTGCCAACTATTATGGGTCAGGTGAGAATCACCTTAGTTTCACTTAGATTCTCATTCAAATAATCCAAAAAATGTCTTATAGGGCACCATGGAACAGCAGGTAGAGTGGCTATCCAAGGCCTGGGATTGTGAAATAATTGGCACATACGCGCAAACTGAACTGGGACACGGCACTTTTTTGCGTGGTTTGGAAACGCGCGCCGATTACGATGCCAGCACAAAGGAGTTTGTGATTAACACACCCTCACTAAGTGCCTACAAGTGGTGGCCCGGTGGCTGTAAGTATTAAAACGCGGGTTAGCTCATACTACACGACACTAAAATATCATCCACAGTGGGTCATACGGCGAACCATGCCGTTGTCGTGGCCCAGCTGTACACCAAGGGCGAGTTCCGTGGTCTGGCGCCTTTTATTGTGCAGCTGAGGGACACAGAAACGCATATGCCAATGCCAGGCATAGATATTGGCGACATTGGCACCAAGCTGGGCATGAAGGGCGTCAATAATGGTTATCTGGGGCTAAAGAATGTGCGCGTGCCGCTCAACAATATGCTGATGAAGAACCAACAGGTTCTGCCCGACGGCACCTACGTGGCGCCCAAGAATAGTGTCCTAACATATGGCACCATGATGTTTGTCCGATGTGCACTTATTCGGGATACAGCCCAGAGTTTGGCCAAGGCGTCCACGATTGCAACACGATATGCGGCTGTTCGAAGACAGAGTCCCATTGATCCGAAGGAGCCAGAGCCGCAGATTATGGAACATACCACACAGCAATTAAAGCTATTCCCGCAGATAGCCAAGGCTATTGTGTTTAAGACAACCGGTGATGGTATTTGGAACATGTACAATGTACTCTCCGGCGAAATTGAGCTGGGCAACTTGGATCGTTTGCCCGAAATGCATGCGCTCTCCTGTTGCCTGAAGGCCATTTGCAGTGCGGATGCAGCAGCTGGAGTGGAAACCTGTCGTCTGTCTTGCGGCGGCCATGGGTATATGGACTGTTCCAACTTTCCGACCATCTATGGCATGACGACGGCCGTGTGCACCTACGAGGGCGAGAACACGGTAATGTTGCTCCAGACGGCACGTTATTTGGTCAAGGTGTACGGACAGGCGCTGAGCGGTGATCAATTGGTGCCCACTGTGGCCTACATCAATGAGGCGATTAAGCAGAAAGAGTTCGTCTATTTCGATGGCTCCTTGGAGTCAATTGTAAAGGCATTCCAGTTTGTGGCCGCCAAGTGAGTGTGTTCAAATATTTATGATATTTAAGTGAAATCTAAAATGTATTTCCATATAGCAAAGTACGCGTCGCCTATGAGCAGATCGAGCAACGCCGCCGACAGGGCCACAGCACCGAGGTGGCCGCCAATCTCAGTGGCGTCTTCTTGACAGGCGCTGCAGACGTAAGCAGGAACTAGGCCCCAAATGAGTTATATACTAAACTATGCTATATTTTTAGCTGCACGGTCGCGCATTTTTGGCGCAATCCGCGTACACGGAGCTGATGGCTGTTTCGCGACAAGTTTCGCCCGCCCTAGCCGATGTGCTGATGGTGGTGCTGGAGCTTTACCTAGTCGATGCCTGCCTCAATCGCATTGGCGACTTTTTACGCGTAAGCCCATACAATCATATAAATTGAGTTTGTTCTGTACTTACCCACGTTGTATGCAGTTCATTGAGCTGACTGATGCGGATGTCACGAAGTTGGAGGTGCGCCTGGAGAGCTGCCTGAAGCGTTTGCGTCCAAATGCTATTGCTTTGGTCGACAGCTTTGATTTGCATGATCGCGTTTTGGACTCCGCGTTGGGTGCATACGATGGCAATGTGTATGAGCATATTTTTGAGTCAACCAAGAAAAATCCGCTCAACAAAGAGCCGGTGAACGCCGGGTTCCACAAATACCTAAAGCCATTCATGAAGGCGCATTTGTAAAATAGCGTGCACTTTTTTAAGGGGTATTTCGTTAACTGTTGTAGGCCTGTTATGTCGCCGTATTTGTATATATCATTAAAGCTTTTTCGTTAATTTTATATTATTTTGTGTGGAATTGTTTGCTGAAGTTGTGTTTGGTACTCGAAGCACTTTTGTTTTTATTAATATCTGGATTGATCTATGTCGATTGTTCTCAAAGTTCCTTAATCCTTAGATATTCATCGAGACTTTTGTAAACGGATCCTAGCGAATCCTCCACAGTCCTTGGCTTGATATAGCCTAGGCACGCAGCCTATTATACGTAGTCCAAGTTTTGTGTTTTAATAGAGCTTACACTAAACGCTTTATTAAAGATGGGTTTTAATTATAGTTTTTAGATAGAGTGTGACTGTAACTCCTGTTTTTGTTTTTTTTTTAACTAGCAGCTGTCGATGGCGGCCAATCGAATGCTGAACAGAGCACAGCCATAAAGCCTTCGGTTGTATCGCTTATGAAGCACCAGCTGGATTCTTGGCGTTGCGTTGTGCATAGAGACGTCGCAACAGGCGATTGCCGCAGAGGAATGTGAATACTGCGATTGGTATGAGCAGGCGCAGTGTTTGGAACATGTTGAGTTGCAGCCAGAAAACGAAGAACAGCGCCAAAATGCCACCAAAGCCCAAATGAAAACCGATGGTGCTGGGTGCCAATGTAAAGTTGGACACATTAATGCCCAGTTTGGCCCAAAACACAAAGAGCAGCACGAGCGGCGTTATGCACAGGCCGGTGAATATATCCGAAACAATGCGGGGCGGGCGCTTATCGGGCACGCGGAACTGATGCACAATCTCTGGCAGAGGTCCCCTCACAAAGCTGGGCTTGATATCTGTAAAATGTTATTGAATTTAATATCGGCTGCGAATTATGCAGGCAAGTATAGCCTTACCTCTGTCTGGCTGATTGAATTTCAGCTGAACATCAGCTAATAGCCACTCGAAGGAGTTGGACAGTGAGGCATCGCCGATAGTTAGATAAATGTTGTACAAGCCGTTTTGATAATTGAAATTCTTGCCCTGATTGCCCACATCCATATCAAATTTGTAGGCCTTGCTGCTGTCCTGCTCCGCAACGAATATGATTTCCTTGTCCGTTTCCTGGTTATACAAACGCACAAAAGCCTGATGCACTGAGATGGGTTTGTTGTTGCTCTCATCGACCAACAGTGCCTTAAGCAGCAGCTTTTGTGTGCTGTCAGCTGAGAGTGTGTCCTTCAGCTTGTTGGGAAAGCTGACGCTCTGCTTGCGTGTAGCTGCGCTCGCATCTGATTCGGCGATACCCAATTCCAGAGTTTGCACCTTAACACGTCCAAGCACTTTGAATTGCAGCTTCTGCTTATAAACGCCATCGGCATTCAAGTCTGCCTGGTAGATGCCACGTGCTGGCTTCAGGCTGCTCAAATCGGCAACGTAAGTGGTTTTGTCTGAAGACTTGGAAACTAATTGAATCTTTTCCGCCAACACTGAGTTATCCTTCTTGACACTAATCTTGGCACTGAGGCTCTGCACGGCTGGGGACAGAGGTTTGCCGAGCAAATCGACAATGGCCACATTCAATGTGGGTGACTGCGACTCCAGTTGTCCATTTCCAATTAGCTGTATGCAGATGGGCGCTACCTTTTCCGTGCTGCTGATGGTTTTTAGCGCCTCGATGAGCACATGGGCTCCTTTAGCGGTTTGCACAGAGCGGCGACTTAGCAAATAGTTGGCAAATTTAACGGCCTGTTCGGACGTAACAGGTGCTGGCTTGTTGAAAGTTTTCGACACGCCAAAAACGCCGTTAAGTATCAGAGCCGTAATGCTTAGTCCGCCCTCGAATTGCAAAAGTTTGCCATCAACCTCGTCAGCCTGCACAACAGCATCCTCAATGCGATTGGCAATAAAACTGGCGCTAGGGCCCAGTTGGATAGCCACATTGAATGCATAACCGAGACCGCTCAGCGTGTCATCTCGTTTCAGCAGTTCCTGCAGGCGTTTCACAATTTTCGACTGAGCTGCTTCGCTAACCTGAACGCCAAGCGCCTTATGAGTCACTACGCGATAGTAAATCTCCTGAGTGGTGCCCAGCTCCGATTCCAGTGAGCTGTACACCTTGGACAGCAAAGATTCAGCGAGTTTTGCTGTGCAACGCAGGTTCCTGTGGGCGCCAATTAGATAGTAGTCTTTTTCAAAGTTCTAAAAGTAGGCAAAGGGTCAAAAATGAATTGGATGAGGCGATTAGGAGATACTCACATTTAGTTTGGATTCCGCATGCAGCGTCACAATCTTTTGGCATAGCGCTTCCTTTGTCGCAGCATCAGTTGTTTCAATGTTTAAGCTGGCGAAGAAAATCGCTTGCAAATCGTTGGAACTGAGGCCATCAACGAACACTTTTTGCAGGCGGGTGAGATCCTTTGGCCCCAGATGACTATCGACGGTGCGCGTACTCCAAGTCGTTGATGCAGCGCATAGTACGCATAGGATCATGAAGCCTGTTGTAAATATTAAAACCATAAATATTTTTTAAAATGTGTTGGCCAAGTTTTTGTGCCGTAGCTGCGAAGTCAACGCCGACGCCGGCAATAGCGACAGAGAACGAGACAGCGACAGCGACAGCGCCTATGCCGGCGTTTGGGCCGCACACACGAGGGCCGATTAACTTTGCTATTGATTTTTCACTATCAAAAATAACTTACCTAAATTCAACATTGTCCTATATTGTGTGGCGTTGTTAAACGCAGCTTATATGCTATAGGATAATAAATAAAAAATGCGTAAATAGCCTGCACCGCCTGTTTCAGCTTCGATATTTTTTACAGACACGTCAGCGGCAGTGTTGCCCTATACGCGCGAGAACAAGGGCTGGCGACCACACTACAAAACTGTGTGTACACACTTGTAAAAGGTTGTGTCAAAAAATCGACCGGCTATCGGTTAATCGATTAACATCAGAAAGTCTCTGTAATTATTCCGTTATTTAAATAGCATTTAATTTAAGATAAACTAAGATTTTGCATGTTTAGCTGTATGTGTTGCGTCCGTAATACATACATATAAATTCACACAGAACATTAAAACTCAACTGAACAAAAACGATATTTTTTTTTTTTTGGATTAGGGTCCAAACTTCTCGGTACATTCCGCCAATGGCCTGGTCACAGAATACTTCACTTTGAACGTCTTCGAAACGTCGCCCTCATGATTCCATAAAGTTATGGCCGTGGTACAGTAGAGGGGATACTTGTTAACGCGCACTTCCAAACGCTCCTCATCCTCCGGCGGCTTATCCTTGCAGAACTGTTCAAAATACTCGGTGTGATTGGGGCCCAAGTCAACCTTAACTAAATTCTGACGATTATATTCGTCCAGAAACTCTTTCCACAAGTATTGCTCCATACGATTAGCGCGAGTAACTGCAATAAAAGGTAAATAACTGAATCAGACGCTAAAATATTAACAAACAGTTTGCCCTTACTCAGCTTTTTGTTTCTGTAGGGTGTGCCAAAGCTTTGCTGAGTTTCGGTTATCTCAGCGGGGCAGGGGCCCTTGCCCAAGATGCGAAAATTATCGTTGCGTTTCATTTTTAAGCGCTTTTTAGTGTAAATGGTAACGAAAATAATTTATTATTGTGTTATACGAGCTAATATGCGACAATGAAAAGTGCTTGACCGACTGCTGTGTCAGGCCAAACATATTCGGAGCCTGGCAACGGCGCAGCTAAGCAACCGGCGCTTGCTCTGATTGATCCCCTTGGGCTGCTGGCTCGTCCTCCACGATGAGCGTGACATCCTTGGGACGCAGTATACAGTAGTAGACCACGATCGTGGCCAGAAACAAGATGCCGCTGTAGACGATCCACTCCCAAATGAAGCCGAACCACCAGGACTCGAACTGTTCGTTGGCATACCAAATCGCTGACATCGTTATGTTCTCCACCAGTATGAGCACCAGGTAGCAGACATACCATCTCCTTACGCTCTTGAAGCACACACGGAACTCGAGCAGCACAAAAATATAGATGTATCCGAGCAACAGATAGAACAACGAACGGCTCCAGCTGCCGCGGCAACGTGTCTCTAGCGCCAAGGCGGCCAGCATGAGGGCATAGTGCACGCCCACAATGATGAAAAAGGCGCGCGGATAAAATACACAGAACGTGGCCAGCGAGAGCATGCGCATTGTGATGAACGCTATCCAACCGAAGAACGCAACCGTTTTGCCCGCAAAGTCATCCTGCTGTATGCCATTGACAATCTTTGTGGGCCGCGGAAAGTAGAAGTCCACCACATCCTTGGGCGTAACAGGTGTGCCCTTTGGCGTCTGTGCCAGCACCAATGGAGTGCGATCATCGCTGGGCTCCTCATTGACGCGTCCCATCAGCACTTTGGGCGGCCGCGGCACGTGCTCCTTGATATAAAGCTGGGCATTGACCAGCAGCATATCCTTGAACGTCTCCAGCTGGGAGAGTGGACGCGTCACGAGTCGGCTGCGTCTATGTTCAGTATCCGACACAGTGCGTCGCAGATCTGGTGCGGCCGTGGGCGGACTATTATCTGTGGGCAGCCGCAGCATGGGCAGCGCTGGCGGCGCCGTGGCAGGCGGCGGCGGAGGTGCTGGTGTTTCAGGCACTGTGTCCAGCACCTCGATGCTATCCAGATGGTTGAGCTCTTCGCGTCGCAGCTGCAATTTGGGCCTGGCCTGATATATCTTATCATCATCCGTGATGTTGCCGGCAGCTGTTGTGGGCGAGTGCAGCAGAGCTTTGGTTTCCAGCGTCTCCATGCCATCGTTATCCACCTCATCAAATCCGCTTATGTGTAGCTCATGGCTGCCAATCTGGCTGTCCATCTGTCTTGCATGAAAATTCTGCATGATCTTCTCTGACTGCGGAAAGCTTGTTGCCAGCGTGCGCTCCGATTCGCGTTTCCTGCGCTCAACCTCGCCGCACAGCCGCTCGTTCTGCTCCAGCCGACAGCGCTGTGCCTCCACCTGCTGCGCCGTTGCCCAGGGATAGTTACGACCCACGCGTCGCTGGCTCTCGATGCGATGATAGCTGGTGGTAATCCCGGCCAGATCTATGGCGGCGAATACAAGGCACATACCCTGCAAGGCGGCTGCAATGAAGGCATTTACTTAAACCAGACTCGGATGTGAACCAATCTTCTCTACTCACACGTCTCATAGTTGCGAAAGATGTCCTGGGCGAGCATATGGTACATCTGCAGTATAATTTGTGGCGCCGCCTGCGCGTAGGCCTGGATCAGCAGGTACAGCTCTATGCTGGAGGTTTGCGTCGCCTTGGTCAGGCACTTCATGCGTTCCACATCGTCGTCGGCATGGAAAAGCGCCTCAACGGACCAAAACAGGCGCTTGGTGAACCTGGAGAGGATTAAGCTTATATAGCAGGCAGCCATATATTTTTTTTAAGCTCACCTGTAAAGCACGGCGACTGGAAAGAGCAACAGCTGCAACAGTCCCAGGCTGCAGACAACAAATTGATTGCGACTGGCATCGCTGGCGCTGCTGCGCTGCTCCCTGGAGCTGAGCACCAGAACGCAGGTGAGCAGCGGCGGCACTAGCACCAGTATTAGTGTACCGGCTCCGTAGCCGGGCTCATGCTGCCGGAAATGCTGATAGCTCAAGGCCAAGTCTGTGGACGTCTGCAGCATGTAGACCAACAGCGCCAAGCAGGTGGGGATTATGTAGGAGACATAGATGCGCGTATGGCTGCGTATCGCATAGCCAAGTATATGACCAGGCGGACTGGCCGCATGACCCACCTCCACGCTCATGTCCAGTATTGTGTTCCTTTTAATAACTCTTCTTAGTGCGCAGCTGCTCTTCACATGCTTCGATTGCAAAATTCCTGATGATACTACGGATCTATGAGTAAGCGTCGCTCTTTCGGCTCGCTTATCAATGGGCGTGTAGATTAGATAAACAAGTTGAGTTGGTCGCGTGTTTGAAACCCCGCCAAGGTTTGTTTATGTTTACGTGCCCAAGTCTACGCTCTCACAGATCCACCAGAGCGCCGAGAGAAGCGAAGCGAGTAGCGTTCGGAGCAGATATTGACTGGATCGAATCTAATATTTACTTCTAGGCTTATTTATACCCTTTGCTTTGTCTATCTCATAGTCTTAAATCTATCCTATTAAAACATTGCGTATGACTCCTATATCTCTTAATGCTCATAGGAATTATAGATCGAAAATTATGTTCTCCATTTTTAAATGAACACATCTTATTAATATCGGACTTATATATTATATAGGAAGTATAAGTCGAAATATTAGTTTTTAAATGGAAGAACTTTTTTTAAAGATATCTTCTGACTGTTATATGACCGATATAGGAACAATCTGATTAAGAATATAAACTTTTAAACTTCTTTTCTCGTCATCTTCTCGCGGCTACTTCAATTGTTGCTTAAGCAAGGTATTAACTTTAAAACTTACTTGTAAATTTTACAATGTGAAATGAGATTTCCAGATGGAAAAATGTATAGTTTTAAAATAGAATTAAAATCTATATAAATACTTGTTTATAAGTAAATTCTTTATTGATTGATGAATTTGCCTAGGAATCGTACCAGGTCTTCTTCATCCAATTGGAAGGCTTGCATGGCTCTTCGAGCACCAAAAAGGAGCCCTGTTGATTCTCAGTGCTCTGCTTGGCTTGGCGGCGACAGCCGGCGGCATACTTGGGATTGCCCTCAATAATGGAGGATTTGTCACGGCATTTGGACGCGTTCTGCTGGACGGAGCCGCGTCGTCCATATCTGGGCGGTTTCTTCGAGCCACCAGTGGCCACATCCTCGAAGCTCGGCGCAGCTGGCGGCGTCTCCTTCAGCTGACGCTGTCGCGACGGACGCCGCTTGGCCTGCGACTGCAGCGGGCAGTGGCCGGCATCCAGCGAGGAGTCGGAGCTCTTGCGCAGATTACCAGCTGGAGCAGCATTCAGCTCGCGCGGCCGTTCCCGCTCCCGTTCACGCAGCTGGTAATTGTACTGGGCGCGACGATACTCGGGCGTGGCGGTCAACTCGTTGGCAGTCATGCTGCTGGCCGCGGGTAACTGAGGACTGGTCGCGGCGGCGGTGGTGTTTGTGTTCGTGTTGGTGGTGCTGGTGGTGGGCAGCCGGAAGGAGGAGACTGGCTTGCGCAGCACCGGCCGGGCGCGTGGAAAGTCTAGATAGTTGTTGCTATACTCTGGATTAAATTCGATCTTGCCGCGCAGACGCAGGCACGGCTCGCGCACCTTGCCGCGCTCCGGCATCTCGGTGATGTGCGGATCACGGAAGCTCTCGTAATACTCGGGCACCTCTTTGGTGAACTCGCCGCGTGGCCGCAGATGATCGTCCGTCTTCAGGGACTTCTCCTTGGCCATGTGCTTGGGTGGGACATTAAACTTATCGCGATATTCGGGCAAATCGCCGCCGCTCGCCTCGCTCGGCTCCTGCTCGGCGCCAGAGATGCGCAGATTGTCGTGCTTCTTGATGGGCGCACTCTTCGAGTAGTTGGCGTACATCTTGAAGCTGTCCTGGTATTCCGGCACAGCATGGAACTCGCCCTGCATCCTGATGCTGCTGATCTGTGGTATCGAGTGCGCCTTCTCAATGGGAAACTGCTCCACATACTGACGCTTGTATTCGGACGGCGTTGGCTCGTACTGTGTGTCCTCGGCTCGCATCTGCAGATGGCAACGATTCTGCTCCCGGGCGGCCACATCGCGCTTGAACTTGTCGCTAGCCAGCCGGTTGGACGGCTCCTTGTCGTCGCGAAACATATCCCGCGGCAGTATTTGGGCGCTGCTATCCACCATGGGATGCGACAGATACGAGGAGCTCTTCATGTTCCCGTCTCCATGCGTGCCACCCAGCTGCCAGCTCTCCGGATTGCGCACCGGATACGTGCGTGCACTGAGAGGTGGTAGGAAATTAGTTATTTGTGCATACAAATTTTGGGAGTCAGCTTACAACTGCAGATCCTCGGCCGTGTACCAGTGATATTTGTCTTGATGCTCGGACAACAGCTGCATCAAGCCCTCCAGCCGCAGCGATGTGGCACGCCTCAGCAGGGTACGCGGTGGTCGGGCGTCGCCGTGGCCCTTGCAGCAATAATTCCTGCTGTACTCGGACTTCAATGAGCCGAAGGCAACCGTTGGCTCCGCGCTGTTGTACAGACAGAAGTTGCTGTGCGTGTGCAGCTGGACGGGCTGCCGGCGCCGGAAGAACTTGAGATCGTCAACGGCAATGTACTCGTGCGGCTGGCCGATGGCAAAGCGATCCCTGTGCTTGTGGCTGGCTGCAAGGTCCGGCTCCGAGAACGAACGACTCCAACTGAACTCCGCCCCGGCACTGCAGACAGCAAAAGAAAATGCTTTTAGCCACACAAATTGCCAATTGGGAAACCCTCCTTCCGGGGCCTTGGCTACGTTTGGCGTCGGCGTTGCCATTGGAACCAAATAACACGGAATCGAAGCAAAATCGCTAATAATTACAACAAAAAAAAAAAAAAAAAAAACAAGGAAAATGTGCTACGTGGAAATAGCTAAGCATGAGCATGCCCCACCCAGGCATACCCTATAAAATGTTGCATACTTCAAAGAGTTACCCTTTCCTTTAAGGCAATATACTCGCAAATAGTTAAGCATGAGCATGCCCCACCCAAGCATACCCTATAAAATGTTGCTTTCTTAAAAAGGGTTCCATTTGCCATAAGGCAAGATTTCTTGAAGTAGTCTCTACGATAATTTGCTTTGGGCAACATTCTTCATATTCTTGGCTGTTATAATAGTTCTTTCAGAAATAAACTTTATTCTCACGCCTTAAGGAAAACTTCGGGAGCCCGACTTTCCCATTCTATAGGACCAGGTTTGTGTTCAAGCCTTTTTTCTTAAGCTTTAAGTTTGGCCAATTCCCGAATTAATTTATTATTTGTTGTATGATTCATGACGCAATTGTTGAGGCAGTAAAAAATGTTGATTCAAAGAAGAAAGAATGAGAAATGATATATGAGTAATTACATTTCCAGCTGGCGAATACAACGCGGCATACCCTATAAAATGGAACAGAGTTAGACAATAAAAAGACGCTCTGATGGTAGACCTTAGCAAATGGTGCCTTATGAATATTACTAATACGCCTGTTAGACCCTAGCTGGGAGCTGCTCCAAAGGAATTTCTTCATAGCGTGCCAGCACGCACACAACAAACTAACTAACACACACACACACACACACACCTTTACACATCTGCTGGTATGAGTTGCTAGGCACACTCACACACAACTGACAGAAAAACAGACAAATTGCAAGAAATTGGAAATTGTTCAATGTGAATGTTTATGGGAATTAAATGATTTGTTTATTTTTGCACATCAATCAATAGCTGCCAATTGCTTAGGGTGCCACGCCCACATCGCCAATGGATACATACGGATTAGCCTTAAATGTGTTTAATATTCATAAATGATGCACCTTTCGTGGCATGCAAATTGCAACGTGCACACCTGTTGCCATTGAGTACTTCCAGTTGCAGTGGCCGTAGTTCTTGTAATATGACTGGCAAATTAGCATATTTAATGGCCAAAAAGTTTTTGCATATGCATTTGCAGCTATTTTTTAAACAACCAATGTGTAGAACCATCAATCATAGCTTGGAACGCTGTGCGGAGTGTCGAGTGGACTGTCGGCCCATAAGGGTTTAGCAAAACGGTAGAAGTTTAAAGAGGGTAAAGAGTTTACAAAGATATTAATGAATACAAAGGAATATAGCTCGATTTCACTAAAAATAATACATTGGATGTATTAATAGTCAAAATACGATCAAAATCTGATATTTGAAGCTTATGAAAATCGCATAGAAAGGCGATATTCAGTAAATGAAACAAAACGTTAAAGTGGAAGAGTTAAAGCGAACGAATAACAAAGAGAGAGGTTTGAGATAAGTAAAATTTATTAGAGCTACATTTTTTAGTCAAAATCTGTTATTTAAACTTTTTGAAAATCGCATAGAAAGGCGAAGGAGAACGCAAAAGTGAAGGAGTTAAAGCGAACGAATAAAAAAGTGTAAAGACTCTAAGAAACAACTACATACATTTACACAAATCCATTATACGTCTTTTACCCATTTTCAATGGGTTCAGGGTATACACATGAAAAGGCATACAACGACTTAATTTCCTAGAAACGCTTGCATCATCAAACTGCTCCAAAAATAGTTATGCATATCAAATATTAAGAAATCAAGTAGCGTGCAGATTAGCTGCTTATGGCTGTAAATCAAAATCGTGTTGTCAGTGTCAGCCTTCTATCAGTTTGCCCAAAAAGCCAGCCGTCAGCTGCAGCTGCAGCTGTAATTGCGTGCGTGACCGTTGCCTCGAAACGGAAACGGAAACAGACACAAACGCAAAACGCAAAACGCGAAAGCAACAACTGCAGCTGCGAGTGCTAAAGGCGCCCAAATCATGTCGGGCTCGACTTTTAATAGCAACAGCGCCAAACGGTTGACCCAATTTGCCACCCGCCCCAAGGTAATAAATGTAAGCAAAGCTGGCGAATGCGCCCAAACAACGAAGTTTCTATGCCCTTCTTCTATAGGGAGTGTAGATAAAAAGAGGAGTTTCTCTGGAATAACTTAAACTATTGAGTCGATTTTTTTTTGTATACCAAAAGATAAAAGGAGTTTTTCTAATCAGCCCAATAAGTGTGCTATGCGAACTTGTCTCCCAGCATATACTTTGGAATATATATAAAGCATAAATCAAGTTAAGCTATAAGCATATTAAGTGTTCATGTCAACTTTCCCTATAATACCCTTTTTATAGTGTATTATAATTTTGTCACGAAATATACAAAAAAAAAACAATATACCCAATAACCTTGAACCATATATCTACTGTCTTTCTGGTAATATATATATCGGATTGGGCCTGTTTAGATCGGCTATATCTGGGACTATATTCGAGAGGAATAATTGGTCAATAAATAAACTGTTGTGTAATATATATCCAAGACATCTTGAACAGACTGTGCACCTTAGTACTAGTTCTATCATGCTTGCACTACTTTACCCAGAAGCTCTATCGAAAGCAAGGCAAATTCCCACCTTTCCCTTCATTGTAAATAATCCATTTAATATTCGCTTGGTAAAGAGAAAACAGGAATTACTCGAAAATGTTTATCAAAATATTTTCATGTATCTAGAGGTAGTTTACCTCAGTAAAAATAGCTTCTATATAAAATCATTCGAAAAGTAAGGAAATTTGATCTATTTTTCAAGATTTCTTCAACGAACTCAGCTACCACCAGCTGCATTATCTACTATATCATATATATAAACTCAATGCTCAGCTATTTGTCTAGAAGGCAATTTCCAATTCGGCTTTAACAAGCAAACTTCTTTTGTTTTCAATTTAGTTATTGTAACTAGTCCAGTGCTCTAATCTTGACAATGCCAAATGACCTTTGGTTAGTTTGCT